CTCAGGATCTTCATCGCTTTCGTCGTGGCTGCTATTGCGATCGCCCTCATCCTCGTTGTCAGCCTTCTCGTTGTCGCCTCTGTTTGTTATCACAACCGCCTCTTCTCGCATGTGCTGTTCCTCCTCTTCCCTCTTACTCCTCTTGACGTCTGGGTGTCCTAGTCGTCCGAATACGTTAGCATATCGAGCGACAGACAAGCCTGCAATGGCTGGTACCACTGCATGCTGCACCGCTGCCAGCTGCCAATTGCCGCTGCCTGCTGCCATTGCCCCTGCCAGCTCTATAGGCGCAATTGCCTGCTGAACACTGCCAGCTGCCACTGCACCACTGCGAACTCTGCTTCTTCTCCTGCTGCCACTGCCGGGTCTTCTCGCACCACTGCCTGCTGCCGCTGACGGCGTTCGATGGTCTGGCGCCTCGCGAGAAAGGCATCGCGCGCCCGCTCGGATATTTCGAGGAGACCCAGCTCATCGCCCACGCTGGGCAACGCATGCCACTGATGACGTATAGTATCATGCCCTTGCACCAAGTGCTCGCGCTGCCGGTATTTCTCGCATGCGATGGTTCCCTCCTGTGTCCGATGGAGTCTGGTAGCCAGGGTTTGCTTCACTAGCTGCAGCCTGTGCCGCCACTTCTAGAAGAAGAAGAATCTGAAAAAACGCCATAAACATAAACTTGTGGCGCTCGGCGCGGATTTCTTGGACCTGCGCTGGACCCCCCTCCCTGGCGCGCGGAGCGCGCCAGGGGCGGCGCTGGACGTGCCGCCGGGGGGGGCCCGGCGATGATCCAAGAAATCCGCGCGGAGAGCCAACAGCTTATCTTTACGGCGTTTTTTTTCTCTCTTGATCTTCCCCACGCATGCAGCAGCTGATGACATCTGGTTCGGGGAAATGAAAGACTCGAGTAAGCCAGAACTCGGGTTTGCCGACTTTTTTTTGACGAGCGCGCCCTGGACTTTGAAGATCCCGTTTCGTGGGATGTCTGCAGCGGGAGCCCGCGTCAAATTTCAGATTGGGTCTCGTCATTTTTATGATGGCCCCCGTCAGGCCATTCCGAGTCCCTCGTACTCAGAGGCCTCCTAGATGGGGTCGGAGTAGATGGGGTCGGAGGATCGCGCCGCATCGCCGATGCATCGACCATGCATCATCGACGTGGGCGATGCATCGGCGACGACCGCGTGACGAAAATCGGCCTCCGCATCGAGCCGCATCGCCGATGCATCGGCGATGCGGCGCGCTCCTCCGACGCCATCTGCTCCGACCCCATCTAGGACGCCTAGAGTTAGGTCGGGCATGTCCCCCCTACAGGCGGATTTTGGAAGAAAAATAAAGCGGTCTCCAAAAATGCTCAAACGTGATCAAACTTAGTCAAAAAAACTTCCCCAGGCTACTTTTTGACTATGCTTGAAGATTCCTCCTGTAGAGGGACAGGCCCGACGTGAGCCTAGACCTGCTCCTCCGACCCCATCTACTCCGACCCCATCTGGGAGGGCAAAAAATCCACCCCGATAATAACCACCCCGACACGCGAGATCGTTTCATAAACGCGCCCAAAGAAAGAATTGAACAAGGCGAGACTGTTTCGTAAACGTCCAGGGCCGTTTAGTAAACGCCAATTGTCTGGTCTGGGTGGTGTTTTCCTCCCGTGAACCTAAGACGCCTAGACTTCTGCTGTTCCCATCGTACTTACGGACCACATCCCAGAAATAATTTCGAGCACCCGGAAAGGTGTCGAAACAATGTCGGGTGAGTGTCTCCCAGCACCCGGCACGTGAACCCCCGAGGTTCGGCACTTCCTTGGTGCTCGAAATTCTTCCTGGAGATCGAGGCGAAAGTGGGCTGGAACACCATAAGCCTGGACCTGCTCCTCCCGACCGCTGCCGGGCGCGTCCTGGGCGCGAGCGCGGCCACGCGGGGGCGAGGGCGTGCCCGCCCTCTGCCCGCTCCGCGGGCCTGCCGGAGGCGACTCTGCTGCGCCGGGCCCGGCAGGGCCCCTGCAACGGCGGCCGCGAGGACTACGCCCTGCATAGAGGGCAACAAGTAGGTCGGGCCTGTGCCCCTACAGGCGGAGATTGGACGAAACATGATACTCCCAACTGGTCAAGAATGGTTTAAAACATCGTCACCCGACTGTTTGTTTGTGACAATTTCTGGATATTCCTCCTGTGGAGGGACAGGCCCGACTTCAGACTACGCCCTACATAGAGGGCAAACAATCCACCCCCACAATAACCGAGCCGACACGCGAAGCCGTTTACGAAACGCCCCCACTGAGGGAATCGAACAGGGCAGGGCTGTTTCGTAAACGCCCAAGGCCGTTGAAAGGAACGCCAATTGTCCGGTCCGGGTGGTTTTTCCTCCCTTGACCACAAGCGGATTTTGAACGAAGAGCTAAAGATGGTCAAACAGATGCTCAAACGCGGTGTCAAGATATAGTCGGACAATCGTCCCCACACTATTGTAAAACTACTTTTGAAGATTCCTCCTGTAGAAGGCCATGCCCAACCTCACGCCAGCGTAAAACTACTTTTGAAGATTCCCCCTGTAGAAGGCCATGCCCAACCTCACGCCAGCGCTAATGCGCTGCTGGACACAGCCGTGAGGCCGATGCGGTGGGCGCCCCGCCTCGGGCCGCGGGGCCAGCCGACCGCCGGCGGGACGAGGCGCGCGCACCTCCTGGGGGCGCCCACGAGTTCGAGCACGACGCGGGCGACTGGAGCGGCGGTGCCAGAGGCCTCCAAGATGGCCGACCAGCCACAACTAGGGGAGCTGTGGTCCTTACCCCCCTGGGGGAACCCATCGCCTCGACGATCTCTCGAGAGGGGTGTCGAGATCGATGGGTCCCCCAGGGGGGTAATGACCACAGCTCCCCCAGTTGTGGCTGGCCTGAGATGGGGTCCGAGTAGATGGGGTCGGAGGATCGCGCCGCATCACCGATAAGTTACATCGGCGATGCAACGGCGATGCATCGCTGATGCATCGGCGGAGCATCGGCGGAGCACCAGCGATGCACCGTCGAGGTGGGCGATGCATCGGCGACGTCGACGTGAAGCAAACTGGGCTCCGCATCGAGAAGCATCGACGATGCATCGCCGATGCGGCGCGATCCTCCGACCCCATGTTCTCCGACCCCATCTAGAAGGCCTATAGAGGTGCAGGCCCGTGGCGGGGACGGCTTTCCCGATGCCCTCGGCGACGGCTCAAGCGGCGGTCAAGGCGACGACCCGCGCCTGCGGCCGGTGGAGGGTCGGCCCGCCGGCGTGGGTCATCCTGCAGGGCTCGCGCGCCGGTCTGCCTGGCCCACGCCGGGCAGTGCCGAGGGCGGTGCTCCGGCTTCCCACCGCATGGAGGACGGTCCCATCGAGCCGGGGGTGGAACCCAAGCAGCGCACTGGTGAGTCAGCGAGGCTCCCAGCCCAGCGGCCTCCCCCCACCGACCGAGGAGTATCCGGGCCCGCTGGAGCTACAGAGTACGCGAGCAGCCTGCAGTGCAAGAACCTCTGTGCGAGTTCGCCAGCACCCCGTGTGCCCCCAATCAGTGTGCGGCCTCGTTTGCGGCTGGCGTAAGAGTGTAGCGTGAGGCGGTGGGCGGGCGACAGTGGGCGGGAAGGAGCTTGGCCCCTCGCACTAGTTGGTGTGTAAACTGATTGCATGGACCATGCACGTGTGTGTAAGATTCGGCGCTATGCTATGGCTGCTTCACTGGCCTCCGAGTGTCGCCCAAAGACTGCTAAATGGGGAGCAGAGCAACAGCAGCCCTTTGGGGTGTGAGTCATCTAGCGAGCTCCTTCTGCTAATCCCTTCTTCCCCCTCGGGGAGAGGGTTCTCCCTCCCCCATACCCTCTCCCCCCAGGTGTAGACCCCCCCCGAGGTGTCAGAGGGTCCTTGCTGGCCCCAGGTGTCTCCAAGGGGGCCCCATAGAGCTCAAGATGGCCTCCAAGATCGCTCAATATATCCCAAGATGTTTCAAGATAGCCTCCAATATGCCTCCAAGAGCCCTCAAGATCGCCTCAGGACGGCGTCCCTGGGAGGCCTCCGAGAGGTCAGACTCATTGTTTTACCTGTGACATTCCATGTGATTTGCTGTCTCGCCTTCTCGCTTCCGATGGACTCTGGAGGCTTCAAGATGGCTCTAAGATGCCCCAAAAAAGCCCCAAGAGAGCCCCAAGAGGGATTCAGGATGGCTCCAAGAAGGCCTCACAAGCGCCCAAGAGCGCCCCAAGAGGGCACTGATAGGCCAAGCGTCTGGCCCAGATGGGGGGGCCGTACCTGAGTACCCCCCTGCTTTGACCGATGGTTTCCACTATTGTCCCAAGTGGGTCCCCAAGGCCTCCGAGAGGGCCCCAAGAGAGCCCCAAGTGAGCCCCAAGAGTGCCCCAAGAGATCCCCAAGAGGGCCCAAGAGGCTTCAAACATAGCCCCAAGAGGGCACTCAGAGGCCCCAAGAGGCCTCCAAGACGCTACGAGAGTCAAAGATCTGCGAATGCCTGGAAGGTTGGCTCCTGCCGTTGTCGTCGTCGTCGTCGTCCGTCGTCCGTCGTCCGTCGTCCGTCGTCGTCGTCGTCGTCGCCGTCGTCGTCGGTCGTCCCTTCCTGGGCGGAGGTTCCGACCGCCTCGGCCCCCCAGGTTCAAGTCGGGCGTGTCCCCCTACAGGAGGATTTTGGGCGATCAAAAGAAAATCCTCAAACATACCCCCAAGATGTTCAAAAATTGTCAAAAATCGTCCCTCTACTAGTGTGTCAATTTTTGAATATTCCTCCCTAGGTTTCCCTGGCCTCACCCGGCGGTGTGTTCGCCCGCGGACGCACCCCTGGTTGCCCCGCCCTGCTCTGCCCTCCTCCTCCTGCTCCTCCTACCTCCCTCCCACCCTCCCTCCTCCCTCCCTCCCTCCCCCCTCCTCCTCCGCACCCAGCGAGGCTCATCCCTGCCCTCCTCCGTCCTCCTACCTCCCTCCCTCCCTCCTCCCTCCCTCCCCCCTCCCTCCTCCCTCCTCCGGCGAGGCCTGCACCCAGCACCGCCTCGCCGGAGATGACGTCCACCGCCTTGCGGATCGCCTCGAGCTCCTGGCGGGCGCGCGGGTGGGTCCCCCGGGGGGGGCGCCGCGCGAGGCGGCGAGGCGAGGAGGCGAGGCGGGGCCGTGCGAGGCGAGGCCTCCTCCCCCCCGTTTGCCCGCTGCAGCTGCTGCTCCCGGGCTCGAGCCTGCCGCTGCTGCCCCCACCCCCCCCTGGCCTCCCGCCGCGGCTCCTGCCCCTCCTGCGCCTCCTTCCCCCCCTCCTCCCTGATCCCCCCTCCTCCCGCAGGTGCGTCCTCGTCCTCTTCCTCCCCATCCGTTTTCCAGTCTCCCCGTCACCGTCGTCGCTCTCTGTGCCATCATGTCTCTCCTTCTACTCTGCATGCTCTTTCTCATCTCTGCTCCTTACCATCGTACCCACATGATTCCTTACCGTCGCCGTCCTCTTCCTCCTCCTCATACTTTCCTTATACCCTCCCCTCCTCGCCATCCTCGTCGCGTCCTCCTTTCCCCGACATTGTCACTACGTTATTCCAACCCTCGTCCTACTTCTCACCCACGTCCCCTCATCCTCCTCCCTCGCCTCGTTTCAGCTATTCCCCCCACACACCTAAGCCTCGTCCTCCTCGCCTTCTCTCTCTATCATTTCTTATAGTCTAGTCTTGGATGATGGCAGTCCTCTCCTCGACAAACGCTCTTCGCGGTCTGCGTCAGCGACCGCCTCCCAAAGATCGACCGCGGCATGCCAGGAGACCCCATTTAGTAATTGCACGATCTACGATGTACGGGCCATTCCATTGACTCATGGAATGGGCACGCAGTGCTCTCCATCCTACGGTCGGGTAATCGTGGTCTTCCTCGTCGTCCTATCTCAGTATCTGCCCTCTTCGGCATCATCCTCGTCGTCGACTACGACGTCACCCCCGTCCCTCATCAGCACCCTTATCACAAGAGTCCTAACGACCCGGGGCGCGTAAAGGTGGGGTAGGGGTAGAGGTGGGATTGGGAGGACCATCGCTGACGGCTCCTGGAAGAAGGGAATGTGGGAATTCAGCTGCCTTTCTCGTCCGTCCCCGCTCCCACGTGCTCTCCTCCTGCTCGTGCCGCTCCTCCTCGGCTTTCTCTCCTCCTGCGAGTGGCGGCACCGGCGGCGAGCCACACACAGCCACCCCTCTTGGCATGACATAAGCGAGTCCATCGAGCCTGGAGCTTATCCCCATCCCTGAGATTGACAAGCCCCAAAAGACGATTCCCATCTTAGGGATGCGCCCTCAGAGACCGAGGGAATCCTTGCGATCGGCATCGAAGTAAAGTGATGCCACTCGTAGGCATAGGGGTATCTTTGAAGCTGGTTAAGGTACCGAGGGAAACGGGTCCTGTACCCTGGGACCTTCCCGTGGGACCAGCTCTTGAGCAGGGACCGACCGCGCCGGTATTCCTTTAGGCCTGCCACGAAATCTTCTTAGAACCCCAAGATGCTCTGAGAACGAAAGCCATGTCCTCAGAGCAGAAGCCCGCTGTGCTGGAACAAGACAGGCCTCAGCCAGAAATGTTCTACGAACATTCCGTGCAGACCACAAATGGTTCTCAGATCGGCGGTGGACAAGCCTCCCTTCAGTAAACCACCCTCTAGTGAAGACGACCTAGGACCGAAACCGACGGACCTGGACCCGCACCAATGACGGCCGCGACGCCGTCTCGCGAACCGAAAACGGCCTATTCGCTAATGAACGTGTCAGGGTAGGAGCTCTATCAAACTGCGATCCGGACATTCCTTGGCAGGCCTACCGGCGAGCCAGGACGCTTCGCCACTGCTTGAGGCTCCTGCTCCCGAGCCGCTGCTCGACCAGGCTCCTCTGGCCCCGCGGGCGGACCTGGGAGAGTCCACGACGGCGGAACACCGAAGGACGCGTGCTCCTCAGGACTTCTTTCAAGACGAAGCCAGGGGCGGCGCCGGAGGCGCCGCCAGAGGTCCTAGGCGTGAGGGGCAACGATAGGGGGGGCTGGCATGGGGGGCGATGCATCGACCTGGAATCGATGATACATCGCCGATAGATCGGCGATAGGCCCCAGATAGTGAATCTGCACCTTCCTGGGCGGGTTAGGGCTATCCGGCCCCCATCGGCGATCAGTGGGCGGTCAGTGGGCGATCAGTGGGCGATTGGGGGTCGATGCATCCCCCCCTATGCCTATCCCCCCCTATCGTTGCCCCTGATCAAGACTCCTTTGAAGATGAAGCCAGGGCGGCGCTGGAGGCGCCGCCGGGGGGCCCAGGCGTTGATCCAAGAAATCCGCGCAGAGCGCCGAAAGTTTTTGTTCATGGCGTTGTTACTTCTTCGATCGTAGGCATAGGGGTATCCTTGAGGCTGGCGAAGGCGCCGAGAGAAATGGGCCCTGGACCCTGGGGCCTTCCCGTGGGACCAGCTCAGCGATCCTGAGCCGATGCTCAACGGCTCCTCTGGGTCCGTGGGCGGTCGGCCGGGAGATGTCCAGGCCGGCGGCAAACGCCGCAGGGCGCGTGCTCCTCGGGACTCCTTTCTCAATACGAAGCCGAACAAAAATCAAGCAGTGCAAGGGCCTCCCCCTCCCCATTCCCCAGCCTCTGCCTCTCATCCTCATCCTCATCCCCCCATCCTCCCTTACCAATCCTGTTCATCCTCCTCCTCGTCCTCCTCCTCTTCTTCCCCCTCCTCCTCCATCCCCACGCTGTCGTCGTCATCATCATCAGCATCAGCATCATCAGCATCATCATCATCATCATCATCATCATCATCATCATCATGATCATGATCATGATCATGATCATGATCATGATCATGATCGTGATCATGATCATCATCATGATGATCATCATCAGCATCATCATCATCATTCTCATCCTTGTCCTCCTCCTCATCATCATCAGCATCATCAGCATCATCATAACCATCACCATCACCATCATAATCATCATCAGCATCATCCTCATCAGCAGCATCAGCATCGGCAGCATCTTGATCATCACCACCACCATCATCATCATCACCATCACCATCACCATCACCATCACCATCACCATCACCATCATCATCATCATCATCAGCATCATCATCAGCATCATCATCATAATCATCACCATCATCATCCACAACAACATCACCATCAACGCCCGAAATGGATACGGAGGAGATAGGTACAATGCCCAACAACGATTGTCCAAAATAGACGGCGGCCGCTGTTGGGCGGGCGGCCCCTTGTCTTCAAGGAACAACGTCCACCGCGGCGCGGACAGAGTCCTGTGCAACATGAACAGGAGCTGCTGTTGGGCATCGACCTCACCCTTCCGTACCCATTTCGGTCGTCCCGAGAAGCCAGGGCAGGACCCAAATCGGACAGGGATAAAGATATCGGGAATCTCTGAGCTCCAGGGGTCCTGGAGGATGCATCAGGCGCCGCGGCCTCCTCAGTCTCTCTGGAACGCCCTGGAACGATTTATCAATGTCCCAAGCCCGCCCGACCTTTCCTTCACGGCGACCCCTGATCAGAATTGGCAGCGCGAGCAGGACGCTGCTCGCCTTTCGACGACTCTCCAAATGTGTAGTTTGCAAACGGTGCGGCCTGCAACCGGCACCCTGGGAGGCACCCATGGGGGGCGGGCAGGGACATCGTTAGTAGAGTTCTCCACCGCGCCCCGAGGAGGCCCAGCGAGGACAGCGTCGTGCCCCCCAGGCCCCAACGGCGCCGCTCGCAAATCGCGCCCCCCCGTGTGACCACACCCTTTGTGTAGCTAGCCGCCGAACCTGCGCGACGGAGCGACACGAGCGCGAGCCGGAGCCGGCGCTGGGCCCAGCCCCAGCGGCTCCTCCACCTCCTCCTCCTCCTCCTCCTCCTCCACTGCCTCGTTCTCTTGCTCTTGTGTCATCCTCCTCCCTTTCCTCCTCCTCCTCCTCCACCTCCTCCTCCTCCTCCTCCTCGTGGAATCCATCTTCTCCTCTCAGACGCGGACGGCCCCGGATTCTCCTTCCTCCTCCGTCCCCTCCCCTCGGACCGCGCCGCGGCACTGCACCGCTCCTCGGCCCGCAGCTTCTGCCGCGCCGCGAAGTCGGAGGCCTTGCCGAGGCAGAGCTCCCTGAGGCCACCGAGGTACTCCTGATCCTCCGCGCCGAGGTGCCGAGTGCCGAGGCGACGCCGGCGATGCATCGGCGACGTTGTGGTGGAGAGAAGTGGGCCCCGCGTCGAGCCGCTCCGTCGGTGCGGCGCGATCCTCCGACCCAGAGCTGGGTCTGGCATGTCCGAAACGGATACATAACGAGTGAGCACTGTGCCCGACAGCAGATGATGTCCCGCATCGACAGCTATCACTGTTGGGCAGGCGACTGTTGATCTCAAGCGGGCAAAGTCCACGGGGGCCGACGGCGAGGCCTGTTCAACTTGGGCAGGAATTTAGAGGCCTCCTACGTGGGATCGGAGTAGATGGGGTCGGAGGATCGCGCCGCATCGGCGGTGCATCACCGATGCATCGGCACCGTCGGCGCGGAGAAACTCGGGCTCCACATCGAGCCGCATCGCTGGCACATCGGCGACGCGGCGCGATCCTCTGACCCCATTTACTCTGACCCCATCGGAGGCCTAGAGTCAGCCCGTATCATAAGGATGCGCGATAAGGATGCAAGGGCCATGCCAGCGGGGCGCGGCCAACGGAAGTGGCCAAGGATGGACCGAGGAGGCAAGGACGCAGGGGTAATTACCCTTGGGAAGGGTGCCCATTCTGACTCTGCGGGTTGACTGTAGAGAGCAACCCACAGAAGCGGTGGGTCGTCCCCATGGCGCCCAGTAGTCCGTCCAATCCCGCGCACAGCGGGCAGGATGCATCTCCCTCACCCGGCGCTCTGGGGCGCTCTGGGCCGCTTCTGGGCCGCCACTGGGGCGCTGCTGGGGCGCCACGGGGGGGGCAAGTCAGCGCTGTTGGGCACTATTGGGCGCATTTCGCTGATACGATATGCATTCAGTCCACGACGAGCCTTAAGTCCGGCGTGCCCTCTATAGGAGGAAACTTCAAAAATGATTAGAAAATAATCTGTGGACGATTTTTCAGTATCTGTGACTATTTCTGAGCATGTTTGGCGTCACTATGTTTCGTCCTAAAGCCGCCTGTAGGGGGACACGCCCGACCTAAGACGAGCGGGATCGCCCGTGATGTCCTACCTGTAAGGCGAGGGCGTTCCACTACTCGCAGAGTATTTACTTGCACATGGCCTGGATCCGCCGTGGGGGATCTACGACAAATAACATCGAAGCAGACACGTGTTTTCCAGACGTTTGCGAGTAGGCACTCTGCGAGTAGTGGAACGCGCTCGGTGATGAGAGGCGAGGGCCCGGAGGCCCGGCGGCCGGGAGCGGCCGCGCGCTGCCCTCGAGGCCCTGGGGGGGGCCGGAGCGGCGCGGCACGGCACGGACAGCTCGTGCGCGGGCAGTCGCCCGGGCCCCCCCCCTCTCAATGGGGCCCAAGGACACACGAAGACATACGCACGAATCCCAGGATGTCCCACATTTTGCCGTATTTTCTGGGTTCTCGTCTTCCCCCCCACGTCCCCAATCGTCCCACATTCTCCTGGGAGTCGACGATGAGTTGTGTCTGTGTGGTTTTTCCCCTCCTGACCCTCGAGGGCGGCGCGTGGGCTAGGCCATGGCCTCGCAGGCACGGCCGAGAGCGCGAGCAGCCCGAAGGGCGCGAGGGGGCGCGAGGGGCCGGGGGGGGGGGGGGGGCGAGCGAGGGTCGCGGTCGGACTGGGGGGGGGCGAGGGGAAGGGAGAGAGGGGGGGGAGGGGGCGAGGGGAAAGGGGGGGGGAGGGGGGCGTAGATAGGAAAAGGGGGTTCGATAGCGGATCAATCCACGCAGCCGGCGTTTCCGGCGCCTCCCTGGCGGCGGGGCCGCCACCGGCTGCCTGCTGCAGCTTTCGTACCCCCACCCCACCCCGTTCCCAACTCCCCTCTGTTGCCAGATCTGAGAGGGACGGCGAAGGGGGAGGTAGGCGCTCGACATGTTATCCGTGCCCCTGCTCCCACCCCGACCCCCACGAGGGGCCAGAGCGGGGAAATGGATAACATCCTGGTCTCCGAGGCCACGATTCGTATCCGTTGCCTGCTGTGCCTGGCGCCCAGAGTGGGGGGCAGCAGCAGGGGTGTGGGCAAAACGTCGAACGCCGAGGGGGGGGGCGGGCGGAGCTTGAGGCAGAACAAAAAAAGAGGGGAACGGGGGAGAGGATGAATTGGCACGCCTGCAATACGATGTCCAACAGCGAACACCGTCTAAAACCAACAGCGGCCGCTGTTGGGCAGGCGGCTTATCACCCATGGGCAACGTCCGCGGCGACACAAACGGCGAGTCCTGCCGACAGCGGACACGAGCTGCTCTTGGTCTTCGTCGTCCCCGCGCTTGTCCGTGACGATGCCGATCGCACGGACTGGGGGTGCACGGTTTCCGCCGGGGCAGCAGGCGACCCGAGGAGGAGGAGGAGGGGGAGGAGGAGGAGGAGGAGGAGGAGGACGAGGGAGGAGGAGGGGGGGGGGAGGAGGAGGAGGCGGAGGAGGAGGAGGAGGCGGAGGAGGAGAGGAGGAGGAGGAGGAGGAGGAGGAGAGGAGGAGGAGGAGAGGATGACGAGGGAGGAGGAAGGGGAGGGGGAGGAGGAGGCGGAGGAGGGAGGAGGAGGAGGAGGAGGAGGAGGAGGAGGAGGAGGCGGAGGGATGAGGAGGAGGAGGAGGAGGAGGAGGAGGAGGAGGAGGAGGAGACGGGTCGCCTAAGCCCTTCGGATAAACCCTCCAACTGGGAGAAGAATGGCAGGGAGAGCCAAGGGAACGTCGCGATCCGTCTTGCCGTGTGCACCCGCAAAAGCCGGACCCTGGCCCCGGGACCGCCGGCTCCTCGTCGCGGGTGCCTGTTTTCACGGTGCGGGGGCCCGGTGGTGCGCGCTTTCTTATTCGGCGTTTCGGCAAGGACGGCCGAAGGGGGAGGAGGGGGGGTTCTGGCTCCGGACCTCTGCTTAATGCGACTCTTTGTGACAGTGCGTTCTGTGGGGGAGGGGCTACACCTGCTCGAAGCAGGCGCCCAAAAACATCCAAGATACACTCCACGGGGTGTGGGGGGAGGGGGGGTTGCGAGGGCCCGCGCCGATCGGCAAAACAGTGAATATGCTTGCAGCCCGAAGCCTTAGGTCGGACCTGTCGCCCTACAGGGGGATTTTGGACGCACAATAGTTAGCAAGTCAAAACCTTTTCCAAAAATACTCGAAACATCGTCCCCAGACTATGTTTGTTTTTATGGCTATTTTTGAATACTCCTCCTGCAGAGGGATACGCACGACTTAACCGAAGCCTTACCAATCCTGCTTGGCTGGGCAGTCGTCGTGCTACCAGAAGGAACGCCGCATAAGGAACCAAGGGGCTCCTTGGCCACGGCGAGGCACGGGGCTGCGAGCAGATCTAAGGAGCGACCAGGAAACCAGGGCCCCTCAAGAGGCCCCCAAGAAGCCCCCAGGAGGCTCCAAGAGGCCCACCAGATGCCCCAAGAGGGCCCCACGAGGCCCCAAACCGGCCTCAAGGCCTCAAAAGTGTTGCAAGGAGGCCCCCGAGAGACCTACCAGGAGCCCCCCAAGGGGTCGGCGGTGCGGCATAAGCCCAAAATCTAAGGAGCGACCAGGAATCCAGGGCCCCTCCTGACGCCAAAGTGGTCCATAGTTCAGCGGCTGTACTGCGCAGTCGGAACTAGACAACAAAAAAACTACAAAAGCATGAGACCCTCCACCGGCCCAAACGCACAGAATATCCCGGGGTACCCTCCCCAGGATGCACAAGAGCATCCAACGAGCACGAAGAACATCAGGGTACCCTCCCCGAACCGACCTTGCTCTTATACCTCGGCCCGACTGCATTAGAAGAAGAAACAACGGCACAAACATGCACTTTTGGCGTTCCGCGCGGATTTCTTGGGTCTGCGCTGGGTCCCCCTCCCTGGCGCGCTCCGCGCGCCAGGGGCGGCGCCAGAGGCGCTGCCGGGGAGGCCAGGCGCGGATCTAGCGTAGCGCCTAAAATTAATGTTTCCGGCGATTGTTCTTCTTCGATGCATACCGCATCTCGCTCGCTGATCATCAGCCAGGTGCTCTATGCCGTGAGGGGCGGGAGGAGGGAGGAGAGGAGGGAGGATGGAGGATGGCGGAGGGAGGAGGAGGAGGAGGAGGAGGAAGAGGAGGAGGAGGAGGAGGAAGTGGTGGTGAGGAGGAGTTGAGGAGGAGGAGGAGGCGGAGGAGGAGGAGGAGGGAGGGAGGAGGAAGGAGGGAAGGAGGAGGGAGGGAGGGAGGGAGGGAGGGAGGGAGCGAGGGAGGGAGGGAGGAGGAGTAGGAGGAGGAGGAGGAGGAGGAGGAGGAGGAGGAGGGAGGGAGGAGGGAGGAGGGAGGAGGGAGGAGGGAAGAGGGAGGGAGGGAGGGAAGGAGGGAGGGAGGGAGGGAGGAGGAGGAGGAGGCGGAGGAGGAGGAGGAAGAGGATGAGGAGGAGGAGCAAGAGGGGGGGAGCACGGCCTGCGTGCGGTCGGACGTGGTCTGGGCAAGGCTGCCCTCGGACTCCGCCCGCAGCTGCGCCGTCTCGCCCGCGTCGCCGCGCTTCTTCGAGGACTGCGCGCGGGAGAGAGTGAGGAGGCCATGGGGTGCCGAAGGTCATGTTGCTCCCATCATACGTAAGGACCACATCCCAGAAATATTTTCGAGCACCCAGAAAAGTATCACAGTGTCGAAGCAGTGTCGACACAGTGTCGGACGAGCGTCTCCCAGGGCCGGACACGTGAAAGCCCTCGAGTTTCGGTACTTATTTGGTGCTCGAAGTTCTTCCTGGTGGTCAAGGCTAACATAAGTTGGAACATCATAAACCGAAGGACACGTTCGTACGTTGGTTCCTTCGAAGCGAACATTGCGCTGCTGATAATGCAAATTATCCCAGTTCGACCCTACCTAGGAGTTGGGGCCCCTAGGAAACCAGCATTCGTGGTAACAGTAAAACTAAGCTAAAGCTAAACTGAAGCTAAGCTAAAGCTAAGCTAAAGCTAAGCTAATGCTAAGCTTAAGCTACGATAAAGCTAAGCTAAAACTAAGCTACATCTAAACGAAGCTAAAGCTAAGCTAAAGCTAAGCATACGCTAAGTTGAAGCAAAGCTGAAGCTAAGCTAAAGCTAATATACAGCTAAGCTAACACTATGGTAAGGCTAAGGTAAAGCTAAGCTAAAGCTAATGCAAATTAAGCTGAAGCTAAGCTACAGCTAAGCTACAGCTAAGCTAAAGCTCAGCTAACCCTAAGCTAAACCTGAGCTAAACATAAGCTCACGCTAAGCTAAAGTTAAGCTAAATCAGAGCTACAGCTAAGCTAAAGCTAAGGTAAAGCTAAGCTAAAGCTAAGCTAACGCTAACCTAAAGCTAAGCTACCGCTGAGCTAACGATAAGCTACAGCTAAACTACAGCTAAGCTAAAGCTACGCTAACGCTAAGCTACAGCTAAGCTAAAGCTAAGCTAAAGCTAGACTAAAGCTAAGCTAAAGCTCAACTGAAACTAAGCTAAAGCTAAACTGAAGCTAAGCTACAGCAACACTAAAGCTTAGCTTAAGCTAAACTAAAACTAAGCTAACGCTGAGCTGAAGCTAAGCTAAATCTAAGCTAAAGCTAAGCTAATGCTCAGCTAAAGCTAAGCTCAAGCTAAGCTAAAGCTAAGCTAAAGCTAAGCTACAGCTAAGCTAAAGCTAAGCTAAAGCTAAGCTACAGCTAAGCTGCAGCTAAGCTGAAGCTAAGCTGAAGCTGTGCTAAATCTAAGCTAAAGCAAGCTAAAGCTAAGCTTAAGCTAAGCTAATGCTAAGCTACAGCTAAACTAACGCTAAGCTACAACTAAGTTAAAGCTAAGCTAAAGCTAAAGCTCAAGCTAAGCTAAGTCTAAGCTAAAGCTAAGTACATATTAAGCTGAAACTAAGCTAAAGCTAAGCTCAAGCTAAGCTAAGGCTAAAGCTAAAGCTAAAGCTCCCAGGGGACTGGGGGAACCGCTCCCAGGGGACCGGGGGAACCGCCCGGGGCGGGGCCCACTGCCCGGCCCCTTTAAGCTCAGAGAGTAAGAACCCTCTAGGCAGAGCCCAGGTAGAGAACAAGCTAAGCTAAGATGAGATAAGCAATGCTAAGCTAAGGGGACGTAACTGGGGGAACCGCGGGGCGGATGCCGGGGGAACCGCCCGGGGCGGAGCCCACTGCGCGGCCCCTTTAAGCTCAGAGAGTAAGAACACTTCGAGGCAGAGCCTAGGTAGGGAATTAGCAGATTCAACGCCGAGGGAAAGGGAACTCCTCCATGCTACGCACCAGCCGCGAAGGAGAAAGAGAAAACACGCAAGCCGAAGCAGGGAAAGAGAATGCAACGGCCGATCGGCGGCCGGCGGCTGGCGCTAGAGACAAGCACAGCAATGACTCCACACACCGCCCATGGAGGCGCACATCCAGGCCGAACATATGTAGTGCGAACATGTTGTACCACATCGTTGTCCAGGCGGCACGGCAAGGGGAGCGCCCGGCAACGAACAAACAATTGTAAGAGCTCTGAGCGCGCGCGTCGCTCCTGGATGGGGCCGGCGCACACACAGTATAAAGTATGTCTGCGTGATGCCAAGGCAGCTGCTGGGAGGTCTTCGTGGGAGCGGCCAAAAGATACTATTCGGCCCGAAGCGGGCCCGTCCATCGTCAAAGCATTTCCACAACATGTCTTAAAAAACACGAATTCGCAGTGCCTCTGAACAACTCGTGTAGCATGTTCGTCGGACTGATGGGGAAGCGCGTTCTCTTGGCATTGGGGGCATGTCGCCGTCTCAGCTTCTTCGCGAAGGCGATGATCGCCATGTTGGAACTTCAAGGCGGCGCAAACTGGAGAATCCAACGTTGCATGCAATACGTCCCACTCGAAGCTCCCTCTTCGCAGTAGCACCTACGGGGAGAAGGGATGTATGTCCATTGCGGGAAGTGGCCCATTATAATGCAACCGCCTGTGAATCCTCCATCGTGCCAAGGCGAAACTCCTGGGACTTCAGCGCCTGCGCACGAGCGCGACCGTTGCGTCCTGGCCATCCTGAGTCGTGCCAGAACGCCGTTCCTGGAACTTCCCCGCCGCGGGCCACCGCGATTGTTAAGTCCTCACATGTTAGAGGCCTCCAGAATGGGGTCGGAGTAGATGGTGTCGGAGGACCGCGCCGCATCGGCGATGCATTGGCGATGCATCGACTATGCATCGGCGACGCCAGCGATGCATCGGCGACGTCGGCGTGGAGAGAATCGGCCCCCACATCGAACCGCATCTCTGATGCATCGGCGATGCGGCGCGATCCTCCGACCCCACCGACTGCTGCTCAATGCCGGCACCGCCCCCAGAAGCCCCGCGCCCAGCGACGTCGGGCGCGGCGCCGCGCGCGCCGCCGAGGCCGCTGCGCTGCGCCCACGGCCGCATGGGCATCGAAGCAGCGCGCTCTCCGACGCCGCCCTGGCGCCGGCGCGCACGTGCCGCAGACGGGCGGGTGGGTGGCGAAAAGGAATCTGCGGGCCCCAAGAAGATACGGTACACCACCACCACCACCCCACCCCACCCCCACCCCCACCCCACCCCCACCCCCACCCCCACCCCCACCACCACCCCCACCCCCACCCCACCCCCACCCCCACCCCCACCCCACCCCCACCCCCACCCCCACCACCACCACCACCCCCACCCCCACCCCCACCACCACCCCACCCCCACACCACCACCACTCCACCACCACCCACCCACCACCCACCACCACACCACCACCACCACCACCACCACCACCACCACACCACCACCACCACCACCACCACCACCACCACCACCACCACCACCACCACCACCTCCACCTCCATTCCGCCTCCTTCCTCCACCCTCATCTTCCTCTCTTTCCTGGGAGAGGGAGGGGATTAGAGAGGTGGTGTTGGTGTTAGGTCGGGCATGCTGGGGGGCTGGGGCCTATAATGCCCATTATGCCCCAAGCAATAAAGAAACACGCTCCTGCACGGCCCGATCGCGGGCGCGAGCTGGCGCGAGCCCACAACGGAGAACGTCTGCGATCGCCTGGCCACAGTGGGATCGGTCGCCTTCCGACACCGCCCGGGGAGCCTGCGCCCAGCGACGTTGGGCGTGGCGCCGCGAGGGGGCCGCAAGGCGGCGCGTCCTCCGACGACGCTCGCGGTGCTGGGGCGCGTGCCCAGTATCATGTCGGGCATGTCCAGGCGGATGTTGCGCGAAAACTGCAACAAATAGTCAAAGATGAAGAGAAATGGATAAACATGGAAAAAGTTCGTCCCCAAACTATTGTCTGACTATTTTTGGATACTCCTCATGTGGAGGGACATGCCCGATTTAATTTCCGTGTCACACGCGCGTTGGCACGCGAGCGTCGGCTGGAGGGCAAGCGCCACATCCGCCGTGCAATCGAGCGCCCCGAGCGAGACGTGAGTCGCGCGGACGCCGCTGAGAGGACGAGACGCTCCGCCGACGGGCGCGGAACACCCGGATTCCTGGTCCGCCACAGCGCCGCCATTCCCGCACGTCTCAGGATTCGGCCGTGTGAGACTCGGCGAGTGCGCCACTCTCGATATCGCCCACATCGAGACAGCTCAAGCGGGTGAGCTTCAGTCCCCTGCCAGCCAGAATTTCACGGAGGGATCCGCCGGGCTCCTACAAGTTGCGAGAATGCCCGCGACGCGAACCACGCGATCTGTTCTGTGCAGCGCGGCGTCTGCGACCCTGAATTCGGCCAGGGTTGCGCGCAGGACGCACAGCGCTCGAGCTGCGCAGACGCGCGACACGGGCGCAAACTCGACCTTCGCATCCGAGAAGAATGCGCCCAGTGCGCGCGCGGGACAACTCGCGCGATTTTGGGACCAGGTCGGACAACTCCCCCTGCAGGCGGATGTTGGACGAAAACAATAACCGAAACATCGTCCCCATACAATGTTTGGTTACTTTTGAATGTTCCTCCCCTAAAGGGACACGCCCGACGCAGCTTTAGGATCGCCAACGCTCCACTCGGAGGCGCCGAAAAGGGCGAATAGCCCACGGGGGCAATACATGCATCCAAGGGCGTCGATGATCCATGTCTTCAGCGATTACTTACGTGTAATGCTCTTCCCTGATCTATTCTCCCCTTATCGTCGCCTCCGATCCCCGTGCAGATGCGATCCCCTGGGCGCGCTCTTCCGGTGCGCCACGCGCAGGCCGACCCGACTCCGCCAGGGCCCGGGGTCCTGGCGAAACCATCGAACGCGGGCCATATGTGAGCCCCCGCCGAAGGCAATACCCAACGCCTCCGACGGTCGGCGAAGAAGTGATGGGCCCATTTTCCACCACCACTACTATAGGTAGGAGAGGGAGGAGGAGGCGAAGGACGAGGAGGAGGAGGAGGAGGAGGACCCCCCCCTCCAACTTATGGTGGTGGTGGTGGAAGATTTGCCCATCAAAGGGGAAGCAGATGCAGCGAGAGAAACCACGAAATGGCGCAAATGTTGACCGCGCCAGACCGTCAACCTGACGATGGAAGTCACCGCCTCTTCGCGCATGTACATCGGTCGGCGCGGGCAGACATTGATGCGCGCCCACCAGAGCGCGGCATGCAAAAAAAGGCCTCGGCTTTCAGAGCGCGCGCAATGCAGGCCAGCTTGAGGTTGGACACGTAATGTCTGAACGCGCCACCGCGGAGGAACAAGAAGTACCGCGCAAGGAAGCCGTCGTGGGCCGGCGGCGGCCGTCGTGGGCGGGCGGCGGCAGTTCGCGGCCTCCCGCGTCCAAAATCTGCCCAGCAACGGCGCGCCAGGCTGAAACGCCGCACGTCAGAGATCCCGAAGAGCTGCTGCTTCACACGGACCACAAAGCCGAGATCGATGCTCTCGACCGCACGGTGCGTGGGCTCCCGCGGGAGCCTGCCAGACCGTTATCTCGATCGCAGTCCCTGAGAACATCCAGCCCTCGAATTCCAGCACGAAGTCCGCACGAACCAGTCTGGCGCTGTCCACCCAGGTCGATTGCTGCGGCGGGGGCGGCTCTTTCTCGGGAAGGCGCTCTTTTTGGCGGAGGAGGAGGAGGAGGAGGAGGAGGAGGAGGAGGAGGAGGAGGAGGAGGAGGAGGAGGAGGCAGGAGGAGCAGGAGGAGGAGGGAGGAGGGGGAGGAGGAGGAGGAGGAGGAGGAGGAGGAGGAGGAGGAGGAGGAGGAGGAGGAGGAGGAGGAGGAGGCCCGCCTGCCGAGAGCCGACTGCAACGACGTCGGACGCACGGGCTGCCGCCGACGAGCAGAGGGCATCCGGCCGCGCGGTGGGCCAGGCGACGCTGGGCGTGGCGGCGCGAGCGCCGCGGCCTGCGCCGGCCCGCGAGGCGAGGCGGCGCGCCGCCCTCGGTGCGCGCCGGGGGAGGCGGGCGGGGAGGGCGCCTCGCGCCCCCACGGGAGGAGGGCCCAAACTTCGGTCGGGAATGTCCTCCTAAAGGGGGGTTTTGGGCGAAAAATAGAACACAGTCCACGAGTATTCGAGACCCCGGATAAAAAACTCCGACAATCGTCTCCAGACTGCGGCTGTTTTTGAATATGACTGACTCGGTTTTACTTGTTTTACTATGTTTGATTATGTGTTGGCTACTTTTTGTCACCAACTTCCTGCTGCGCCTTCCCACTTAAACCGACAGCCCCCCCACCCTTATTCCGTTCCCCATGAGCTTCTGAGATGAGGTATGATGCATGATGATGATCGTCTCTCCTCCCCCCTCCATCCCGTCTGCGGGACCTTGGCCCTAATCTTCTCATGTTTGTCTTCTCTCCCAGGGGGGGCCGGCCGAGCCTCCCTGGGGGAAGCGGCTGCGTCTGAAGATACCAAAGCCGACAGGAATCAGGAATCAAGAAGAGGAGGGGGAGGAGAAGGAGGAGGAGGAGGAGGAGGAGGAGAAGGGAAGAGGCGGAGGAGGAAGAGGAGGAGGACGAGGAGGAGGAAGAGGAGGAAGAGGCGGAGAGGGCCGCAGAATACCCTGGGGGAGAAAACTGAAAACGCAAATTCCAATCTTCCCCGATCCAACGTCGAGAAGCCCAGGAGACTCCCGCAACGGCCCAGGCACGAGGTCGCAGGACCTCCATCTCCGTCCGTCCACGTCCTAGGAGGAACGAGGGGGCGAGGAGGGAAACGAGGTAGAGGAAGCAACATCAAACAGAGCAGCCTGGCATTGCCTGATGGCCACTCCCTGCCGGGAGAGGCCCCCTGCTGGCGGTCAAGAGGGACCGCCTGGGCAGGCCGTGTGCGGTGAATCGGCCAGCCCATCCCTTGACAGGCCTGCCGCCTGTTCGCCTGCAGGCATTCAGGTGGAATCCTAGCTTCAAGAACCAAAGCAACACGGGGGGGACAAGGGAGAGATGGCATCGAAACGAAGCTTCCGCAAGTAAGGGTTGTGGGATAAGGGAGAGGAGGAATAGGGTTTCTTGCAGTGTGCGCATACAGTTTCAAGCGCGGTGACGGAAGAGCTTTACCACCAAAGGAAGAAGATTGATGAGAGGGAGGACGAAACCGAGGATGATGAGAAAGAGGAGAATAATAACGGGTACGACGACAACAGGGTACGAGGAGGAGGAGAAGCTGAAGCAGGCGATAACGGAGGAGCGCATGATCGAACGAGGCCGCGAAGAGATTCGGCATGCTGCCTCGTGCTGCGCGCTGGAGATGCTGTCCGCGAGCGACTCGGCGGCCGCAGGCGCGCGCGGCGCTGGGACGTCTCCTCCTTCACCTCGTCCCCCTCCTCCTTCACTTCATTATTCAACACCTTCGCCTACTCCCCCCTCCTTTTTCTCATCATCCTTCAACTGCTTCGTCTCCTCATCCCCCTCCTCCCTCCCTCCTTACCTCTGCCAGCTTCACCTCCTCCTCTTCCTCTTCCACCTTCGCCACATTCTCCTTCGCCTACTCCTCTCCCTCACGCACTTCATCGTTCACCTCCTTCGCCTCTTCCTCTCTCTTTCTCCCTTCCTCCCACTGCCACCTTCTGATTTTCCTCTTCCACATTCTCGGCCACCAGCTCTTTCTTTAGTTCACATCCTCAAAGAGTTGGGCGAAGGTTTGGACTAAACATTATCGGCCCCGATGGGCACTCACTGCTTCCGTTGGTGCTGCCAAGTCCGCAGTGCATTGTGCCGTGTGGAGTTATGAGGTGCACGCCATTCACTGATGGCCCCGAGCACGCTTGGTCATGCAGTGCAGACCAGGATAATCCAGGACGATCCTACACTTCCTCCTTCACCTCCTTCGCCTCCTCAGCCCGCTCCTCCCTTCCTTCCTCCCGATGCATCCTTCACGTCTTCTTCTTCCACACCACCCTCCTTCTTCTCCTTCCTCGCCCTCTCCCCCCCTCCCTTATGTCCCTTCCTCTTCCCTCCCTTTTCCTTCATACCCTGCTTTTACTCCTCCATTTCGTCCTCATTCACATCCTTCCCCTCCTTCTCCCTCCTCCACCTCTTCCACCTCCTCTCCGGTCCTCCCCGTCCTTCCCCTCCTTCCCCTCATCGTTCACCTCCTTCTCTTCGTCCTCCTCTTCCTTTTCTCCCCCCCCCCACCGCGTTCACCTCCTGTTCCTCCTCCTGCTCCCCGTCTTCCTCCTTCAGTCCCCTCCTACTCATGAACATGACTATCATCCTTCTTGCGCGCGTCCAGCGCCAGACTTTTGCCCTCTCTTCCTTCACATCCTCATGCCCTGCTACATCCTCATTCTCTTCTTCCGCCTCATCCGACTCTCTGGGAGGGCGGATCCATTTCGGCCAACGCATAGCACGGCTCAACCCTCTCAAACCCAGTCTGTGCGCTCAACGAGACCATTTGTTACTTCTGGGGGACAACACATGTTACCCTGGGGAGGGGGGCCGAGGGTGGCGACGGTACCGGGGGGCGCAGCGCGCACTCTCCAAAGCGCGCCGCCTGCGTACGTCGTCGTCGTCGTCGTCGTCCGAGGCCACAGTGCCTGTACACACAACACGGGCACCATAACTGCTGCAGAAGTGGTATGTGTCTGCACCATAGCGACCGTATACACCATGAAAACCGTGTGCACCACAGCGCCTTTGTACATCAAACTGTTTGTGCACACCACGGCGCCTGTGCGCACCGCAGCTGCTGTTTCAGCACCCTCTGCGCACCGCAGTGCCTGCGTAAACCACAAAATGCTCGTGTACACCTGAAGGTACCGACGGAACCAAACTCCAGAACATCGATGCGGGGCCGAACGTACCAAATTCAATACATGAGTTGATTGTGAATACTTGGATTTCTGGCCCAAGTTACGCTCGACAATTTCGGGCCCACAACGCCTGTACACTCTATAGCGACACCGCACGTCATGGCAACTGCGCGCACCACGGCGCCCGTGAACACCACGCGGCTTGGGGGCGCGCGGAGCGGCGTCAGCCGGGGGAATACACGCAGGAGAAGCAGGAGGAACAGCATCACCAGCAGGAGAGGCAGGAGGAGTAAAAGGACCCCCACAATGAACATTGCCAAAATGCACAACACCTTCTAACAGCATGTGCACCTATACGGCCCCGACGGAACCAAAGTCCGGAAAATCGCTGGGAGCACGGATGTATCATATTCAATATGTGACCTGATTGTGATAGGACTTTCCGGCCTTTTGAGCCCACAGCGAATGTGAAACAGAACGCCTGTGTGCAGCACAATTCATGTGTGCACCACAATGCTTGTGTACACCAATGCCCGCGTCCTGTATGCGCAAGGAGGACGACGACGAGGAGGACGAACATGAAGAGGGAGGAGGAAGAAGGAAGAGATGCGTGGGTACATCCCACAATGCACGCTTACATCACAGCGACTTTGCTCACTACAGCGATTGCGTACATCACTGCGCCTGTGTACACCACAGGTCTTGTGATGTGTATACCACAATGCTTGCGTACACCGACTATGCCTGTACACTACAGCTGCTGCTGCAATGACAGCTGTGTAAGCCACAAGGCCGGTGTACACAGCAGTGCCTGCGTACACCATAGTGCACGCCCGCCTTCACCGCGGCACCAGTAGTGCCCGCGTACACCACAAGCCCTAAAATGCCCGGGATCGCGCACTGGACCGGGTCAAGGCGTTACCGTTACGGGGCTGGGGCAGGGGGGGATAACATGTGTCATCTCTTGGGCGGATGAAAAATGGTGTCAAGGCGAAACTATCGAACAATCATGCGATAATTGATGCACGTCTCGTCCTGCCACTCCCTGTGGCAAGGCAACATGGCTCTGAGTATTCCCGCCTTCTGAGCTCCAACCGCTGTCGAGGCCGTTGGAACACCACCGCTCCAGCTCACCCCAAACCCTGAGTGGTCCTGAACACGTGGCAAGCCCCCAGGACGACTCACCTTCCCGCCTGGCGCTCGCCGCAGTGAACAGGATAAGGTGCGCTGACTAATGAAGCGGCTCGGGACGAGAAGTCGTATCGCAATACTCGTGATGACCACCCCTTCCCCTCATCTCTCCTCTTCACCTCCTGCGCCTGGGCGAGCTCGCCAGGGCCGCCCACAAGTCTATAGGCCAAGCTGAAGCGCGCTATGGCGACCTCGAGGTCTGTGACACTCGCAGGGGCCAGAGCGCTGACCGTGATCTCGCTCGAGGCTCCCTCGGATGCGGGGCCAGAGCTCCCAGCAGGCAGCCTGGTGTACGGGGTCCAGGCCCCTCCAGCGGCCCAGGTGGAGCCTGAGGCCGACGGTGAGAGTCCATCCTCCGTGCCACCTGCCCCCGTAGGCGAGGCTCGCCCATGGCTCGCGGGCGGACACACGCTCTGGGAGTTGCCAGCGCTCGAGTCCCAGTTGCGCCTCCCTTTCTGCACCAGTGGCGGGTGCGCCCGTGCCTCCAAGCGTGCGCAAAGCCTGCGCGGAAGGTGCACCGGGCAAGGATCTTGTTTGAGGAGCTGGGAAGAAACATCCAGATGCTATCGCGAGGCTGGTGCATCCCCTAGGGCCCACAAGCTGGGGCCTCACTGCCATGCTGGTCAGGAGGCGCGGGGGTTGTTGCGGGCCCGATTCGGGTCGCCTCTAAATGTGCAGGTGCAGGCTCCAGCGGGGGCCCAACGGAGCGTCGCTGCCCCTAGACGTTTGAACCGCACCAGCCAGTCTGTGTATGGCAGATCTCTGCCAGAACTTTGGCCTCAACGAAGAACGTTCCTGTGTCCTTGGCAGGACTGCCGTTTTGAGGGCCGGGGCCGACTACGAGGAAGAACTTTCAGGGGGTGCACTGTCGGGGCCCCCAGGGCGAGGACGGAACCCGCCTCGGGGGCCGACAAATTTCCCGTCGGTGTCCCCGGACTCTGTCCTCGTTCTTTTCCCCTTCTGGGCGTCCACCCCTGCGCCCACGCCTCCGCATCCGCCTAGTCCTCTTCCTGCTCATCCTCTTCCCCCTCCTCGTTATCCTCTTTCTGCTCCTCTTCCTTCTCCTCGGTCTTCTCCGTCTCATCCTCCCCCCCCTCTGCACGCATACCCACCGAAACTGCCCTTATCCCAATCCTCCTGAACCTCCACCATGTCCATCAACAGCGCTGGCCACCTGCATGAGCTGCTCGTAGTTGTGGTTGTTGTTAAGCTCCTCCACCTCAAGCTGCGACCTCTTGTCAGCAAACTCGTCCCGCAATTTCTTGAGCCTGGCTAGCAAGGAACACATGCTGGCTAAATTGAGAAGTCACGACTCGACTGCGCAAGTCTTGGTCCCCCGTTGGTAATCTTAAGACTCTGGGAAGCCACACTAGGCCTGCGTACGTACGGCGGGCGTGCGGGATCGCTGCGAGTGCGTGATAAGCGTACGTTGGTATATTAAAAAGTGGTGCTTTCGAGAATGCCTAAACGAACTTAGGAGTGGTCGTTGTGGATATGGTCGTGTTGATTATGGAAATCCAACGCAAGTCCTCGACGACGCTGTGGAGGGCGTTGAAGATTACAATGAATAAGCAAGCCGCGCAGAGAACACATCGCCGATCAACTATTCAAGGTAAGCGCTATGCGCCAGTCCTCATCTTCCCTGTTACACACCTCCCTCGTTCTCCCCCCCCTTCTGGCTCCCTTACCACCCCCAGGAGGAGGTAATCAAACTCGGGTTGGGGGCGCGCTGGGCTTGACAGCGGGAGATGTGCTCGCATGGACGTGCCGCTCCCTCAACCACTCAAGAAACATATGCTACACCGAACCACCCACCACGAGCGGCAGAATATTAAACGCCAGCGGCTGCCTCGAGCATGCCTGAGAGAAAGCGGTCTTGACAACGTTGCCTCCCGCTTCCTCAATAGACCCATCATGCCCTAGATAGGCGGCGAGCCAGGGGGGAAGCGAGAAGGGACGTGCCTTCTCAGAAGGCTCGGAAGTCCCCTGGCCTTCTGAAAAGTGTTTTGAGCCTTCCCCGAAGACACAAACAGCTTCTCAGAAGGCGCGAGGGCCTCTGAGATGTCCCGCCACCTTCTGAGAGGGCCTCTCCTTCTCAATTCCCCCTGGCTGGCCGCCGATTGGGGCCGTCTGAAGGAGTCTCTTCCTACATGCGAGTCCAGGTCAACGGCCGTGGGTCGGCACACATGGGCCCGCGGACGACCCGTTCCCCGGACGTGTAGCAGGCGCCACGCGCGGATTGGTCGCGCGATCGGGCAGGATACAGTAGAGGGCAACACGTCAACCCCCCATAACAACCACCCCGACAAGCGAGGCCGTTTAACCAACGCACCCAAAGAAGAAGTCGAAGAGGGCAGGGCTGTTTGGTAAACGCCCAAGGCCCTTTAGTGAACGACACTTCTCAGGTCCGGGTGGTGTTCTTCCCTTGATACGAGGATCAGCATACCATAGCGCCCGCAGTTGCTGAGAAGAGTGAGGGGGCGGGGGTGGGCGAGTCATTGGCAGCCTGCGAGGCTAGAGAGCGAAATTGGGAGCAAGTCCCTGCGACGTACCCAACCCTTTCTAAACATGTGGCGACTGTACCCAGGACCGCGCAATACGAACGTGCATGTTAAAGGACTTGCAGTGTGCAGGAACACACAGAACAGAAGAAAGGCGCGCTTCGCAGCCCCCCAGGGAGCGGCGAGGTCTCGGCTGGATCTGCGTAGACCTCCACTCCACTGGGCCTCCCAGGAGCTCACGAACATGACGAGCATTGCTTACGTTGTGCCCCCCCAGGGAGCCCCGAGGTCTCGGTTGGATCTGCGTGTAGCAATGCACTCCGCTGGACCCCCTAAGGCACCCACGAAAGTGGCGACCGTGGCGCACTTCGCAGCCCCCCAGGGAGCCCCTAGGTCTTGGCTGGATCTGCGTAGGAGTTGGTCGGGCGTGTCCCCCCTACAAGGGGGATTTGGACGAACAGTAAAAAATAGTCGAAACATATTCCCCACAATAGTCAAACATAGTGAAAACACCACACTATGTTGTTGAATATTCCCTCTGTAGAAGGACATGCCCGACTTAAGCGTAGACCTCCACTCCGCTTTCCTCCAAGGTTCCCGCGAACGTGGCAACACTTGCGCACCTCGCAGCTCCCAGGGAGCCCGAGGTCTCGGCTAAATCTGCGTGGACCTCCACTCCGATGGACCTCCCAGAAGCCCACGAAAGCGGCGACGGTTCCCCACTTCGCAGCCCCCCAGGGAGCCGCGAAGAGGAGGAAGAGGAGGACGAGGATGAAAGAATGAGGCCACAATGTTCGATTCGAAGCGAGAACCCACCACAAGAGGATTGGGAGCCAAAACAAACAGGCGACGTTTTTTAGTACGCGTTGCATAACGATCCCGCCGCAAGTGCCGATTCTTCGCCAAAGCGGTATGGGCGGGTCACCGCTGGCCGATCGCGGGTGCATCGCGGGCGGGCCGCGGGCGAGGACGACGACAACAACATAACAACACAACCATACAACAGTAACAATCATCCGTACCGCCGACCTCCGCTCCAGCCACGGACAGCCTGAGACCGCTCGGGCCCCTTCAATGTGATGACTCTAGTACTCCTCGACCTCCTCACACTCGTCCTCCTCGACCTCCTCCGCTTCTGCGTCCGCTTCCTCCTCTTCAGCCTCTTCCGCCCCGCCCTCCACCTTTTCATTCCTCGACCATCCCTCCACCTATACACCCATGTTTCCAAATCCTGTCCCTTCTCCCCCTCCCTCCCCAAGAACAATCAACATCGAATCGGGACATCATATTGAATCGGAATGTGCGTCGCGTCGGACTGCATCGGCGCGGAACCAAAATCTTTTCGGAAAGGCCGCGCAAAGCTGTGCAGCAACGCCATGCAAACATCGAGCCGCATCGGAACGTCGGAATCGAATGGGAGATGGCCGAACGGAATCATAATCGAACCGGATTTATCGAATCGGCTTGAAGGATCATAACGAAGCTGGAACACTTAAATATTTTGCTGAAGATGCAAATCGCGTGCGAGTTGTCGAACCACGGGGGACGCCGCCGAAAAAGCTTGCCAAACGTTGGGCGCAATCGTTTCCACGAAGCAGGGGAAACGCCGTGGCGGAGATGAAGCCCCGTCAACCATTTGGCCACTTGAGGCCACTTGTACACATGGGCGTCCCACAAGAGGCCCGCCCAGGGGCGCGGGCAGCCTCGCGAATGGCCCGTGGGCACTGCGGGTCCTGGGAACCGGGTTTGCCGCTCCGAAGGCATCGGGCAAGACGTCAACAAATCGTCCGCCTCCGCCTGAAAACATGAGACCCGGCAGTCTGGGACCACCCGACTGCCGATGTGCAGGGCGCTGTGTAGCCAGAACCTTGGGCGCCCAACACTGTCCAGTCCCAACCTGTCTGGAACTCTCTGAGAACCTCTGGCCGGACACAATTGTATGAACAAAAACTCCCGGAGCTGGCAGAAACTCCGAGGCTCTCTGCAATCTGCTTGCGGCGGCACCCAGTGCGTCGTCGCGCGCCCCTGGTGGGGGCAAAAACATCATGGGAAGCGACAGCCCCGACCACGATGTCCTTGCACCCCGCCCTGGACGCGTCCGCGGCGTCCGCGCCACACATTCGAGCGTGTGGCGCCTCCTGTGCAGGCCGTGCTCCTGCTGCCGATGTCCGCGCAAGTCCGGGCTTCCCAGCCGCCCTCGACGATCTAAGTGAACGCCAACGTTTCTGCCCTCTCGGCTGCTTCTGCAAATGCACGCGCAGCGGAAGACAACACGACGGCCCGTTTTCATCTGGAGCTCTGTCAAGATCTCCGGTCCCGATGTGTCCCTGTCCTGTGCTTGTCTGCACAGCCGCGCCGAAATGTACAGCGGCGGACAGCATCGGATCGCTGGAATCCCACCAGCCCTTTAGGGCGTGAGTGATTTAGGGAGTTTCCTCTTCCAACCCCCCTTCCCTCCACCCCTCTCCCTGGGTCTGGGTGGGGGGCCTTTCGCGAGGTGTTAGAGGGTGTTTCTTGGCCTCGGCAAAAAGGCCAACACAATGGGTTTTACTATACCTTTGGATACATTTTGACCTCCTGGGGAGGCAACGCTAATTTAGTACGGCCCCTCCTTTCATCGGTCTCTTCTAAGATGGCCCCAAGATGGCCCCTGAGGCTCCCCACCCAGATGCTCCCAAGATGCTCCCAAGAGACCCCCGAGAGGCCCAAAGAGGTCCCCTAGAGGCACCAGAGACGCCAAAAGAGGCCCCCAAGACTGCCAAGAGACCCCAAACACGCCCTGAGAGGCCTCCAAGAAGCTCTCGAACAACATTCGGCGAGACTCCGAGAGGCATCCAAGATACCTCTGACCTTTCTGCTCACCTTCCTCCTCCTCCTCCTCTTCTTCCTCCGCCTCTTCATCATCCGCCTATTCCTCCTTCTTCCTCCTCCCCCATCACCTCTCCCCCTCTCCCTACCCCTCGACCTCCGCACCCCTCTTGGGGTACGACGAATTACCAAACCTTGTAGTTCAGTGCATGCTCCTACACATCCCTGGTCTGGGCAATTCGTTCTGGGCATCGTTTCTGGATTGGTTGGTGGGGTTGCGCAAAGCGTCTAGGATATCGAAACCGAATCGGATCGGGACGAACGAGATCAGCAACGAATCGGATCGATCGGTTCAAAGCAGGCCCGACCTCCACCTCCCTCCTGCTCCATCATCCCTCCTCCCTCCCCCCCCTCCTTTCAGTAGCCGCCCCTGCCGCAGAACATGTCGACCACGCCGCCTGACTGAAACTCGTAAGCGGCCGCCTGTCGTGGTCGGCGGCACGCCCCCCAACCTCCTCCTCCTGCCATTCCTTCCTCCATGTCACCCCTGCTTCTCTCCCCTCCCCCCTTCTCCATATCCTCCTCCCTCACCCCTCCTCCCTCCGCTTCCTCCCGCCATGCGTGCCTCCTCCTCCTTCTTATCCTCCTTCTCCTCATCTACCTCCTCCTCTTCCTCTGCTTCCTCGCTTCCTCTTCTGCCTTATTCCTTCCTCCTTCGCTACTGTTCGGCAGCAACGCACATACCCCTGAAAGTGGAAGGTGTATAGAGCAACCTCAACCAGGAACACGATGATGGGGCACACAATGCAAGTGTAAATATTAACAACGATATGACTTCATCCATGCCAGCAGACATTCCGTCTGTATCGGGGCGGACGACTTTTACAGATGCGGCACATGTTCTTCACATCCGTCATCATAAAAGGAGGCCGCACGTACGAGCCAAGTCAACGACTTGACCTCCGCTGCTGCAGAACCTCGCTGCCGTAGACCTTGCACGACATGCACAGCAACAGGGTGGGACTCGGCGACCCACACGGGGGAGCACCCCCTGGTCCAGGCGCTGCGCTGTAAGGGCGCGATCCTCGGCGGCGAGCGAGGGGGCGAAGTGAGAAGGAGAAGGCCTCCTCAGAAGGTTCGGAAGTCCCTCCGGGCCGCCTGAGAAGTTGTCTGAGCCTTCCCCGAAGACAACGAACACTTCTCAGAAGGCGCGAGGGCTTCTGAGAGGTCCCGCCGCCTTCTGAGAAGGCCTTCTCGCTCCTCATTTCCCCCCCTCGCTGGCCTCCGAAAAACTAGCCCAATTGCTCTGAAGTGTAGGCGGACGCAGGAGTCAGGCGACGCGAGAGACAGGGGCGGCAGGACACGCAACGATCCTCGAAGCTTGATCTGAAGGGGCCCACAAAAACACAATTAAATACGCACAAATCCAAGGGCTCCCCATATGTTCACATATGTTCTGGGTCTCTGTCTTCCCCCCACTTCCCATATTTTCGCATATTTTCCAGGGAATCGACGACTCATTGTGTCTGTGTGTTTGTTCCCTCCTGGCTATCTTCGGCCCCCCCCCCAAAAAAAGAGGCTCCGCTCCCGCCAGCGATGCTGGGCGAGAGACGCTGGTTGCGCCAGTTGAGGCTTCGGTGGAGCTCCCTGCAGGGTTAGGTCGGGCATGTCCCCTGCAGGTGGCTTCTAGACGACAACTGTTTAAAATTTCACCAACATTCTCACAACATATACACAAATACTCAAAACATCGTCCCCATACTATTTGTTGTTGGGTGATGTTTAAAGATTCCTCCTGTAGGGGGGCACGCCCGACTTAACTGTAGGGGCCAGGAAACGTGCGAGGGGGGTGCCAAGGTCAGGCAGTGGCGCCATGCGGGCGCTGCCATTTGAGCCTTCGGTGGGGCTCAAGATGGGCCCACAAGCGTGTGAGGGGTGTGTCGAAATTGGGCTGTGGCGCCATGCGGGCGCTGCCGTGTGGGCCTTCGGCGGATCTCCCGATGTGGCCACGAAACGTGCGAGGGGCGTGCCCAAATACTCCCGGCAGGAGACGTCACGGGATGCAGAGCAGGAGACCCTCCCTGGCAGACGCATCAGCAAAAGAAGTGCCCCTGCCGCTGGAATGCCTCCCGCGCCGAGGGCCCCCCTCCCGCCTAGGTGTCTCCGTGGGCGTCGACCTTCGAGAGAGACGTCGCATGGCTTTCGACAGAGCGCCGCGCGTGAGAAATCTGACGAGCACGCTGTCTCTTTGGTGGGCCAGTTTTCCACCACCACCACCATAAGTTGGAGGGGGGAAGGAGGAGGAGGAGGAGGAGGAGGAGGAGGAGGAGGAGGAGGACCCCCTCCCCCTCCAACTTCTGGTGGTGGTGGAAAACAGACCCATCACTCTTGGCGCTGAGTCCGCTGGCGCCCCCAGGATTCATGGAGCACGCAAAGCTAGAGCAGCCGGAGCAGCAGCTGGCTGGGCCTGCAGCGCACCACGCCGCCCAGGCCAGGGCCCCAAAAACTCGGAGCTCGGCCAAGGGTCTGAGGCCACGGGGCCCACGGAGGACCTCGACGAACCCCGAGGGATGTCACGAATAGTGAATGGCCGCTCCACGACGATGAGCTCGTTGGCATGGATCATCCTCGTGAGCCTGAGCCAGACCATCGCGCAGAGAAAGACGACTGAGTGTGTTTGGCTTCGTGGTTTGATTCCTACGGGGTGATTGCACGCTGACCCAACCGTGCAGGATGAGCGTTGGAGCGCCGCTGGAGTGCCAAAGGCCTTAGCACCAACCAAGTTTGTCCTGAATCTATTGGACTCAGGCATGCTGATGCGCCTACCCTAGTCATCGGGGACGCGTCTGGAAGCCCCGATGCTGTGAGAATCCGATGTTTCGCAGACTTGGCCTCGCGGTGGCCAGGCTGAAGTACGTTGATCCTCCTACGGTCAATGTTGAGATCTACGGGCCCTTGGTAGGACCTCATCAAACTTTTCCTCGGCGCGAGCTTGCTGATTTTGAGCCCACTAATCGCTACATTATCAGGCCTATCGTCTACGTCTCAGATAACGGCTCGGTGGTGGAGGGCTGGTGGGCCAAACGATATCGCCTGAAGGGGGACCCATCAACACTTTGGAGATCTATTGTGACAAATATTGAAGATCGGGGCCATCCTGAGCATGGAATAGTTGCCTTCTGCATTCCGTCACACCTGGCCGCTCTCGAGGCGCTGGAAAAAGGACACGCCCATGAAAGTTGTCGTGGGCAACGCGGTAATTCCTGAGTTTTCGGTGGCTGCTGCTCGAAAATGTGGGCTTCCCGCGCATAGGAGGACCAGGGTTACGGAGATCGGGGGCAAGGATTTGCCTCATACGAAACAAACTGATGAGAGCTCACCCGGACGTCATGAATATCACGAATGGTAAACTTGGTCATTCTTCTTCGCCTTCCACCGGTGTGCCTGCTGCCACCGCCGCCGTGGCCCGCGGCCATGGCTTTCTGGTGCCGACTACCTACCAGACCACCCCAACCCAACCCGAAGACCCGAATTTCGGGTTGGGGGGGGTACGGGTTCCATATGTGTTTTCTCGAGGTTCCCCGACCCCCCCCCAACTGGAAATGGAAGGCAAATCGAGACCTTCGGGTTGGGTTGGGATGGTTTGGTGGGTGGTGAGTTGCCCCGTCCCGCAGCATGGATCCGCAGGGAAGGCGGTGCGGCAGGGTGCCACGTCGACGCTCCCGCAAGGCCGCCGGGGACTTCCTGGCCGGGCCCGGCGCGCGCCCCTCCCCGCCCTGCATCGTGGCGGTCTCGTCCAGGCGTCACTACAGGTGGTTGCATGATCATCGACCTGGGATGAAAAAAACACAAGTGGCCATGTTGGAAAATCCTTAACAATTCTTCGTCGGCAAATTGTTAATTTTGGGCGACGCGTCCATCGCCGAGCGAGGCGTCCAGGCGTCCCTGTACAGGGGCAGGCGCGGCTGACCCGACCATCCCGGAGTTGCTGAAGAGCATGCCCTCTGCGGCGCGCTCTTCGCGTTCCGGGGGGCGGCATCGCTGCTGAGGGCGTCCCTCAGGCCGGCCTCCTCACCGAGCACGGCCACAGCCTGCACGAGCTCCTCGGACTTCAGCGAGGCGAGGTCCGCGAGGCTGTCTCCGAAGCGCCAGCGTGCGCACGAAATGCCTGGCCCCCTGTATGATTGACTTTCTCCGCATGGCACACATGATATTACAATTCAGTCAGCCGCTATTGGTTCTGTAGACGCTGCATAGGGTACGGCGCTGATCACATTCGCGCTTTGGCCAAGCCATGCGTTGAGGTTCATACGACGCCCAAGCGGCGCGAATACCTTGACAGGCTGACCAGGGTCTTGAAACCCAGGTCGTAGTGCAAATTGTGACGCTCAGCATCTGTGATTCCGGTTCCTCTCTCCCTCCTCCCTGCTTTTCCCGCCTCCATCCCCCATCCCCGATTCTCCTCCTCCAATGTTGCCCACGGCGACAACAACATCAAAGACTAGCCGAACCGATTGGGAAACTGAAACCAGCTAGAAAAGACAGGCTGGGCGCAGTCTAGAAGAGGCGCGGTGACGCAGCAGCGGCACGGGGACCGACCAGACCGAACGAGGCAGACTGCGACGCAACCGAACCGACAGAACCGCGGACACCCCTAATGATCCTCGTCGGCTGGCTTTTGGGTTCAGAACTCGTGTCTCCAGCGTCCATTCGGGACAGCTCAGCGACCCCCGGAACGCTCTCGGCGAGGCTGGAAAACTGGCGAGAACCGACGAAAACGTCCGAAAACCTATACCCATCGGTCGGAAGAGGTAGGTAGAATCTCGGTAGAACCGTGAAATAGGAAGGCGTTGAACATAGATAGGGTGTCCGCCCGCCCCCCTAAGGAGGGCGGAAACGGTGAAGCCACACGATCGTTGAAGTAGGAGGAAGGCGCTTCAAGCAGATTGGAATCTGAGACTCCAAACATTACCCACTTTCAACGACCGATGGGTAACCTCTGACCTCGACGCCTCCCTGCGCTTCTGTTCCCATGCTCCTCCGAGCGGCCGTCGCGGCTTAACTTTCCGAGCGGGCATGCGGGCCCGGCCCTCTCCTTCCCTCGGGCGGGGGCCGGGCCAGAGGCACGGGCGAAGCCCTCCAGACGCAGCAGAACCCGAAGCAGAGAGGACGACCGAGGAGGAGCGCGGCAGGATGCGCACGGCGCCCGCCAACCTCGGAGCCCACGGACCCAAAATGCTCAAACATAATCAAAACATCGTCCCCTGACTATTGTTTGCAATTTTGGAATTTCCCCTTGTAGAGGGACAGGCCCGAGGTCTTACCGCCCTGGAATCTGGGAGCGCCCGGCCAGCGACAGTGGAGAGGCACACCGAGATCCCCCACCCAAACACTTGCCATGCGGACAACGGTTCCTGGTCGTCGAGGTCTCCCCGTGGACCGGTGTCCCATATCGTTCTTCGAACGCCACGAGGCCTCGGAAGGACTTCGACGCCGAGAGCGGTGGAAACCCTCGGGACCCCTTCCCTCACGGCCAGGCCCACGAGCGCCCCCATCCTCCAGAGGTCCCCCGCGAGGCCTCCCGAGATGTCCCGAAGGCCTGCGGAAGCATCCAGAGTCCCGCGGTGGCCCCCAAGAGGTGCGAGGACGTCAACACGCCTCGGCCTTCGGGGGGGGAGGGAAGAGGAGGAGGAGGAGGAGGAGGAGGAGGAGGAGGAGGAGGAGGAGGAGGAAGAGGAAGAGGAGGAGGAGGAGGAGGAGGAGGAGGAGGAGGAGGAGGAGGAGGAGGAGGAGGAGCAGGGTTCTGGCAGGAGCGCCACGAGCTGCCTCGCTCACTCCCACTCCCCCTGCCACCACAGAAGCAGCTCCCGAGACTCACCGGTGGAGGTCGTCCTCGGAAAGACAACTGTTGGGGAGAGGAAGCACGAGAAAGAAGAGGCGGGGGGCAAAAGGAAGGAAGGGAGGGACAGGCCCTCCCGATGCACCCGGGAACCTCTCGAGGCATCGCGGGACCTCTGGAGACCCCAGGAGGCCCCCAGAGACATGTCCGGGGCGGCGAGGGAGATGGGGGAATAGAAGGGTAGAAGTCAGCAAAACCACGCAAACAGTCGGAGCTCCGCGCGGATGTCTTGGATCGGGGATACCCGCGCGGACATCCGACAGTCTATACGTTGATGCGGAGGGGTTCGTTCGTCGACGGACGAGGGGTTGGGCGGGGGGACGACGTGACTGGCGGGGGTGGGCCCTTCGGAGGGGATCTTTTGTGCCACCCCAGTTGCTCCCATCATTCTTGAGGGCCATATCCCCGAAGTAAGTTCGAGCACCCAGACAAGTGTCGAAACAATGTCGAACGAATATCGCCACCTAGGGCCCGACACGCAAAAACCGTCCAATTTCGGTGCTTCCCTGGTGCTCGAAATTCTTTCCGGCGATCAGGGCTGCAGTAGGTTTTCTGGGGTTTTGTCTTCCCCCCCACTTACCATATTTCCCCATATTGTGTGGGGGATCGATGATTCACTGTGTCTGTGCTTTTTGTCCCTCCTGAGCTGGCGGGAAGGGGGGGAGGGGGAAGCGCAGAGGCGCCTCTGGAGGGCTGTAGACGTCGGGCTGCCCCTGGCGGGCGCGGTGCTGGCCCTGCTGGAGGAGCGCGGCCAGGACCTCCGGGGGCGCGGGAGGCAGTTCGGTTCTAGGGTAGGGGGGGGGTATTTTTTGTTTTTGACCTTCTAGGGGAGGGGGGAAGTCGTCATGATGGTGATGATGATGATGACGACGACGATGATGGTGAGGAGGAGGAGGTGCCGGGCATATTGTAAAAGCGGCAGGAGGAGGAGGAGTAGGAGGAAATGGAGGCCTCTTGAGGCTTCATGGTGGCTTTCCTGGGAGCCTCATGGGGGACCTCCGAGGGGCACTTTGTGGGCCTCCTGGGGCCTCTTGGGAGCCTCTCGGGGGCTCCTGGGGGTCTAGAAGGGACATCTTGGCCGTCGGAGGCCGCCTTGGGCGCCGTTCTGGGCAGTCGTGGTTCCCTCTTTTGGTGCCTTAGGGCCGTCCTCGGAGGTCTGTGGGGAGTCTTGGGGCCGTCTTGGTGGCTTTTTGGATCGTGTTGTGGCCGCCATGTGGGCCTCTTGGGTCTGGCTTGGCGCCACGGGCGAGTGCCGTTGCTGGCGTGCTACTATTTAAAGCTCCCCGGGCGCCTACTGGGGCCCTCTTGGAGACCCCATCACGGTTTGGGGCCACTCACGGGCGTGGGGTGCGGTGATTCAGCATGCGACCCCTGCCACTGGCGCCTTCGGTGGAGCTCCCTCAGGGGCCACAATCCTGCCGCTGGGGCCTTCAATGGAGCTCCCCATGGAACAACGCAACGTCACGCATGCAAACCCTGCCACTGAGCGCTTTAGTGGAGCTCCCGCTGGGGGCTACGATCCTCGTGAACGGTCTGCCCAACATGGGCGCCATCACGCGTGCGAACCTACCACTGGGGCCTGCGGTGGAGCTCCCTATGGGGCCTCGATCCTCGTAACGGGTGTACCGAAATGGGCGCCGTCACGCATGCGAGCCCTGCCACTGGGGCCTTCCGTGAAACTCCCTATGGGGCATCGATTCTCGTGAGGGACGTGCCGACACGGGCGCCGTCACGCATGCGGACCCTTAAAATGGGGCCTGCGGTAAGCTCCCTACCCGGACAGGATCCTCGCGAGGTGTGTGCCGAAATGGGCGCTGTCACGCGCGCGAACCTTGCCAATTTCAATGCCGCCTTCGGTTGAGCTCCTCTAGGCCCACGATCCTCGTTAAAAGGTGCCGAAATGGACGTCGCCACGCATGCGAACTCTGCCACTGGGTCCTGCGGTGGAGCTCCCATTGGGAGCTACGATCCTCGTGAGTGGTTTGCCGAAGTGGGCGCCGTCACGCGTGCAAACCCTGCCAATGTGACCTTCGGTGGAGCTCCCTAGGGGGCCACGATCCTCGTGAGGAGTGTGCCGAAATGGACGCCGTCACGTCACGCATGCGAAACCTAACGCTGGGGCCTGCGGTGGAGCTCCCTGTGAGGCCACGATCCTCGTGAGGGATGTGCCGACACGGGCGCCGTCACGCATGCGAATCCTTCGACTGTTGCCTGCGGTGGGGCTCCCAATGGAAGCTGCGATCCTCCTGAGGGGTGTGCCGGCGCCGTCACGCATGCGCACCCGTGCCACCGGGGCCATCTGTGGAGCCAACTATGGGGCCACGATCCTCGTGGGGTGCCGAATTGGGCGCCGTCACGCATGCGAACCCTGTCACCGGGGCCTACTTTGGAGCGCACTACCTATGGGGCCATGATGCTCGTGAGGATGTGCCGACACGGGCGCCGTTACGCATGCGAGCCCTGCAGCTGCGGCCATTGGTGGAGCTACCTCTTGGGGCTACGATCCTCGTGAAAGGTGTGCCGAAATCGGCGCCGTCACAAATGTGAACCGAGCCACTGGGGCTTTCGGTGGAGCTCCCTGTGGGGCCACGATCCTCGTGAGGGGTGTGCCGAAATGGTTGCTGTCAAACATGTGAACTGCGAACCCTACTGCTGAGCCATTATGTGGAGCTTTCTGTGGCCAGGACGCGTTTAGGGTGGGTGATGATGATGATAACGATGATAACGATGATAACGATGATGATGCTGATGATGATGACGATGATGATGATGATGATGATGCTGATGATGATCTTGATGCTGGTGCTGATGGCCTTAGCAATGGTGATGATGCCGATGATGCGCGAAAAGGAGGGAGGAGAAGGATGAGGATGAGGAGAAGAAAGAAGTAGAGGAAGGAAGAACGCGGGGCACTGCCCTCTATGAACGAAGACCCGGCAACGAAAATTATTGGGAAAAAGAACATCGTTTTGTTGCCGCAGTCCACGGACAGGCGGTCCAGTGAAGGTAGGTGAGGATGACGAGCGACCCGAGTGTGATTAGGGTAAGGATGAGGATGAGGATTTTGTGTGCAACGTGACCCTGGCCAGAACCTCCAGAGCGGATGCATTTCTCGGCAGAGGTAGCTGCGCGAGCAGATCCAAGGTTCGCCTGCCCAGTGATCTATGATGCAACGGCACTGGCTGTTCTGAGCCGAAAGGGCCGTCGGGGCATTGAAAACCACAAAAAGGAAAGGAATTCCCCCGGCAGCGGCACGCTCAAGCTCCGTCGGCCAGCTGTGGCAGGCCGGTGAGGGCCGGAAAGCCAGGTGACTCTATTGCGATGGGCGGCGTTCTGTACAGTGCCGTTGGTTCGCTTGGGCAGGGGACGAGGATGATCAGCAGAGCGAAGAGTCCTCCTCCTGTTCCTCCTCCTCCTCCTCCTTTATCTCCTTCTTCTGCTCCTGTGGCCAAACAAGAAAACACGGGTTGAAACTAATCGCTTCCAAGCTCTGGTCCCTCGGAACACGCGCGCGCTTCACGCGTTTAGGTTCTAGTAGGTAAGCACCTGCCCTCGACTTGTTCACTGCTGCTAGGCAACGTTACAACTGTAGTAGTGTCTCTCCTATATGGTGCGAGCCATTCAGTGCGCTCTCGCCGCCATCGTTGTCACTGCAACGGCCGCCGTCGCCGCCGTCGCCGTCGCCGTAGCCGTCGTCGTCGTCGACGGCATCGGAGTTGAAAGGCTTAGGAGGCTTCCCCAGATTTTACATGTTTGAATCGTCCCCTCCTCCTTCCTCCTCCTCCTCCTCCTCCTCCTCCAGGAACGCATCGGACTACGATTTGAGCGGAGTTGCAGGAGGAATGCATTGAACAACTGGAATCAAATCGTTAGCTCGCGTTGTGTCACTCCGATGCTCGTAGCGCGCGTTTCGCGCGCGCTTAGGTTCTAGCACGCCCCAGCCCGTGGCCAGCTTACAGCTGCACTCAACTGGACACCCACAATATCCTTGAACATGACTTGAAGCAACAATTCATACCGCGGATCCAACAGAGACGAACCGACACGGGCACACCCTGAAAAAAAGCGAAGCTATGCAACGACGGGTGCCCTGTTGGGTCACCTCTTGCGGAAGTCGCGAAAGCCTCTTGAGCTATCCAAGCTATTTCTTGGGCAGTCTTGGGACTCCCTTGGGTCGTCTTGAAGTCTCTTCTCAGCCACTTGGGAAGCTCTGGGGACATCCTAAAGAGCCTGCAGGGTCGTCGTGGTGCCGATTGTGTCCAAGCCCTCGTGGGGCGTCTTTGGGGTCTCTTTGGATCGAATGGGGGAGCTCTTGGGAGCATCTTGGAGGCCTATTTGGGGCTATTGGGAGCCTCTTCGGGGCGCTTTGGGGGCCTCTCGGGGTCTCGTGGGCGCCTCCTTGGCTGTCTCAGAGCGTTCGTGGCCCGACAGACCATGCGCTGAAAATACAACGGCACAAGGAGGAGTAAGACGCGAGTGGAGAAAAAGGGATTGGGGGGGGAATGTGGGAGGGAGGCAATCCTCTCGTGGAGGGTAGTTAGAGAGCATCCATGTGCTGAACATACAATGGGACAAGGCGGGGTACGAGGCGAGTGGAGGAGGAGGGAGTGGGGGGGGCTTGACTTTGGGAGGAGAAAGAGGGGAGATGAGTCGAGGGTGAGGCAGGGTGTAAGTAAAAAGAAACATGCAGAAAAAAAGCGTGGCAGAGGACTGCAGCGTCGTGTGGTTTCTAATCTTCATGCTACTACCCCGTTCGCGCACTCTCCTCCGCCTTCCCACTCCTATGCCCGTCTTCTCAGAGTCGTGATAGCGCGGCTGACTTCACGAGGCACAGCTCCATCTACAACATGTGGCCTATCCTTGCCATTCGCCCTAACCTCCTGCTCCATACCCTGACCTCCTGCTAGCTAGCCGGTAGCCGTTCTTATCGAAATACATGGCAACTGCAAGAAGAGGCCGGGGACAAACCTCTTTGGCGCTGTCTGGTACGAGTGGCAATTCTCTGACCTCGCACGAGGCGTGGGAGGGTGCACATAATGAACAGATCATGGGGAAGAATTGTAATATTATGTTCTGCCCTGTATGGCAATTGGGGAAAGTGTGCATCATCACGCAAGGCTGCTGAGGATGCGCCGAAGGGTGAGAAGGCCTTGTGGAAGGACGCCGCGGAAATACGAACTTCGTTGGCACTTCGCTGACCGCTAACCTCGTGCGAGGCGGTGGAAGAGTTGTAAAACGAGAAAGTTCATGAGAAGAAATACATACCTGCTTAGCGCGGCCTGGTCCCTGTGGCAACCTCTTACCCTCGGGCGCAGTGGCGACCAACATTCCCGCAGCGAGCCGTTCCACTTGTTGAGCTGGGTGAGACCCCCTGTCTGCGTCTTGAACGTTTGCATTGACACCCGCCAGAAAGGGCGGGTCAGACCCACGAGGCCACTAAGCGAGTTCGGACTCCTCTGGGAGTGCGCGGTGGAAAGCCAAGTCCCCACGGGAGACTGGACCCACGGGAGCTCTTCCTCTCCCCTACCTCTCCTGCCCTTGAACGCCGAATCCATGCACACCCTGGATCGCCTTCTGGCCAGGGTCTCGAGCCGAATCCAGCTGTGGCAGGGAGGGCCCTCCGGGAGGCCACCGGCAGGCAAAATCCCCCAAGAGAACGACACCATGTAACCTCGTGCTCTTCCACCTCCTCCTCCCTCTCTCTCACTCCATGCTCCTCATCCCTCCTCCTCCTCCTTCGAGCTTCGAGCTTCGAGCCGGCGGTGGCGTTGTCGGTGAGGGCAAACGAGAGGTCCCCCCTTCCTCCTTGGCCTTCGCTGAAGGCGGGAGGAGGAGGAGGCGGCGCTCCTTCTCCTCCTCCTCCTCCTCCTCCTCCTCCTCCTCCTCCTCCTCCTTCTCTCTCCCAAGAGTCTCTCTCCTCCTCCTCCTCCTCCTCCTCCTTCTCTCTCCCAAGAGTCTCTCTCCTCCTCCTCCTCCTTCTCCTCCTCCTCTGGTAACCCTCATGCTGGGACTTTGCCCTTTTCTTTGTTCATGTGTGGACCCTTCATGCTACAGCCTACTCCCCTCTTTGATTGACCCCTCATGCGGGGACCTTCAGCCGTTGACCCCTCATGATGGGCTTTGCCCCTCATGATTCGATCTGGCCCCGCATACGGGTTTGACTCTTCATGTGTTAACCCATCACGTGGGGTAGTCCGCTCCCATGCTTGACAAGCACCCATGCTGTGGACTTTACACTCATGCGTTTCCCCAGTCTTCCTGGGGCTGCGACCCCTCATGCGTTGTCCCTTCTTGCTGGGGCAGTGGCCACCGCATGCGATGTACCTCTGCTACTGACCGATCACGCAGGAGCTTTGACCAACAACGATTTGACCCCTCATCCTGTTGACCCCTCACCCTGGGGTTTGGATCCTCATTTTGGGGATGTTGGCCCCCAAGCGTTGACAACTCGTGATGGCTTTGGTCATTCACGCGTTGACCCTCACGCTGGGGTTACGACCCCTCATGCGGTGCACTCGGGCGCCTCATGCGTCGACCCCCCCGCGGGGCCCCATGCGCCGACACAGCAGCGCGGCAATGCCGGCTGTCCTATGTTCCCTTCCGCTGATGCACGAACCTGTTGGGCACAGCCCGGCGGCAACGCAGGTAGGCCTGCATAGGCACTTCCAACCAAGGCGGTTGCCACCAAGTATGCGGAACGCAACTGCTATTCACGTGCACTGGGTGCGAACAGCGGTCCTTGCGACAAGATTTAGAGCCTCTTGTTTGACCTATCAACCTTCACGGGCCATGCCTCCAACTCATCGGGGTTACTCCCACCCGAATGGGCATCCGCAACACACTACAATCCTCCCTCACCTCCTTTTCCGATGTTTCATCCTCCCATATCCGCCGCACCACGTCGCTCCCCTCGTCATATCGTCTGCACGCTGCCTTCATGAGCCATCTGGACACCAGAACAACTCACGACCCCTTCTCTGGGGGCCAGTGGCATAAGGCAGGCCTCTGGGATACACGAAAGGCCACATGCTATCACGCAGCGAGAAAGGCACGAAGCATTCCATCTGTAGCTCACACCGCTTGGGAACATAACGCAACATGCCAGCTGCACGACAGCTGGCCACCACGCAACCGAGCGCGCACGTTGCCTCCAGACCATTTGATGCACTAGATCGTCGAGTGGCGTAATGTACGTTGCGACACAAAACCTGCATCTCACAACCGAAGGAACACCATACCACACGTACAGTGGGGGCTCGGCCACAAGAAACCTCCGCAAGAAACCCAACCCTGAAATCTGCGATTTGTTCAGTGAAAACCACATTGCCCATCGAAATCGTCAAGATCTTGTTGGGGGTCCATCGAAATCCAAGAAGAAACCCAGGGCACCCTGGCAGAATCTAACTGGTTTCTTGGCACGCGCCCTCACTGTAGGACAGCGGAGCCCACAAGTATCAGCCTCCTAGGTGGGGTCGGAGTAGATGGGAATGGAGGACGGCGCCGCATCGCCGATACATCGGCGATGCATCGGCGATGCACCTGATATGCATCGTCGACATCGGCGGTGCAGGGGCGAAATCGGCGTGAAGCAAATCGGGCTCCGCATCGAGCCGCATCGGCGATGCATCAGCGATGCAGCGCGATCCTCCGACCCCATCTACTCCGACCCCATCCAGGAGTCTTAGAACAAGCCCCGCACGCTATGGGAAGGAAACGATAAGTCGGGAAGTCGGTGCGGACGCTGAAGTCGGAGGGGGGGGCCAGTTCCTCTGACTCCCAGCGCTGGAAACGCCTAGTGTGTCGAGGAGGACGCTCGGCGGCGCGTCCGAAGCCAGCTGCTTGCAGCACAGATGGTTCAGCTTAGGCGGATTTTGGAGGAGAAGTAAAAACGACCCCGAAAACGTTCAAAATATACCAAAAAGGGTAGACGAATCGTCCCCAGACACTTTTTCGAACAATTCGGAATATCCTTCCTGTAGAGGGACAAGCCCGACTGAAGGTTAACGCCCCCCCCCGCGCGGGCGGCGGTCGCGCCAGCGCGCCCCCTCTTCGCGCCGCCCTGCTGTGCTGCGAGTGCGCGCGCGGTCCTTCCGTCCCGCGCCCTGTCAGCCTACCGGGTGTTGCTAGAAGTGCCCCGTGCCCAAGGTACCCCTAGCTTTTCGCTCCATTTTGTTGGCCCCTGGGGCCCTCTGGGCCTCGTTTGGGGTGCTCTGGAGGCCGTCTGGGCCACCCCGGGAATCTTGGGGGCCCCTTGGGCAATGGGCACTTCTAGCAACACCAGAGCCTAGCATTGCATGCCCAGCCCAACCCTGCCCAAAGCCAGGGCAGGCTTGACTTTCCTCATTCCCCCCTCGCCCGACCCGGGGATCAGGAGGGCAGAAAAGCCACCCTCATCATAAACACCCCTACAGAGCCCTTCAGCAACCGCACGAGAGGGAAGAGTCTGACAGAGTAGGACCGCCCAATACAGTGGAGGCCAGTCCACAAGAAGAAACCTTCGACAAGAAACCCAACCCTGAGACCACAGGACGTCCATTCATTTTGGTGTGGGAACGTTGCACCTTCCACAACAGAACCATCAAAATCCAAGAGAACCAGGGCACCCTGAAGGCAAGCAGGGTGTTTCTTGGCATGGGTCTCCACTGCAACGCCCAGGATTGCTTGGCAAACAAAGGCCTGGCCATGGTGGTCAGGGTGCTTTGTGGCCCCCCTGGAGAAAGGGAGCCAGACCCACCAAGCGCACGAGGCGGCCACGAGGCGGCCACGGGTGGCAACGTGGCGGCACCGCGCCAGACCCATCCAGCTCCTAGGTGAAATCAGCAAGAAGCCTTCAGTGCAAGTATTCTTTGGGGACAGAGGGAGCGCGCGGCGCGCGTGATGCGCGAATTCTGGCAGCTCGGAACCAGCATAAACACAACCTTTCGACGGTCCGCGCGGATTTCATCGATCGGCGCTGGATCCCCGTCCCTGGAGCTCTGAGCGCGCCTGAGGCGGCACTGGGGGCGCCGCAAGGGGGGCCCCAGCGCCGATCCAAGAAATCCGCGCAGAACGCCAAACGTTATGCTTATGCTGGTTTTCCTTCTTCGATGTCCAGCGCCCAGCTCGGAACCCGTTGGCGCCAACTATACACCTACACAGATCCTGATTAGCCTTAGGTCGGGCGTGTCCTCCTACAGGCGGATTTAGGATAACAAAAAGAAAATACCCAAAACAATGTCAAAACATACCCAAACATAATCGTACAATCGCCCCCCGTACTATGTTTTGACCATTTCTGAATACTCCTCCTGTAGAGGGATGCTCCCGACTTAAGATCAGCCCCCTCCTCCTCCTCCTCCTCCTCCTCCTCCTCCTCCTCAGTAACACGAGGAGAACAGCAGCCGGAGCACCACCACCGACACCAGCACCAGCACCAGCAACAGCACGAGCAACGGCGCACCTACACCAAGAGCAGCAGCAGCGGCAGCAGAACCCGCATGACCAGAAGCAGCACCCAGAACGGCCCAAGATCGGTGTACGCGCCCTCCATGCCTGGACGGGATGGCACACACACACACACACCGCTCCTGGGCCAAGGATGGGCCTGGCCAGGACAGGAGTACGTCACCGGGGCCCAGGGACACACACTAATAAACACACACACACACGCACACACACAACTCCCAGGATGTCCCACATTTTCCCCAGTCGTCTGGGTTTCCCATATGTTCCCATACGTTCCTGGGAATCGACGATTCATTGTGTCTGTGTGTTTTGTCCCTCCTGAGACGTAGGTGCACCGTTGGCGCCCGCCGATGTCAAGAGGCTTCCCACATGGGGTCCGAGTAGGTAGGGTCGGAGGATATTGCGCCGCATCGCCGATGCATCACCAATACGTCGGCAGTGCATCGGTGACGTCGTCGTGGAGGATATCGGGCTCCGCATCGAGCCGCATCGCATCTCGGCGATGCGGCACGAGATCCTCCGACGCCTTCTACTCCGACGCCATCTGGGAGGCCTGGAGTTAGGTCGGGCGTGCCCCCCTTCAGGCGGATTTTGGACGAACAATAAGGAATACCAGATAAAAATCGCAGAATAATAATAATAATCAACAACAATAATCCAAGAATCGTTCCCAGACTATTTCTTGATTATGTCTGAATGTTCCTCCTGTAGAGGGACATGCCGATGCCCGACTCAAGCCTAGAGGTGTCAGGCGCCCAACTCACACCACGACACGGAAGGCGTGCTCGGCGTCAGCAGGTTCCGCTGCTCGTCCACGAGCTTCCTTGGCGGCGCGCACCAGGGAAGTATGGGGCAGGGGGGGGAGGCCTCTTCGAACGAGGCCGCTCCTCAACGGCGCCGGCCTTGCATCTGCAGAAAGCGGGGGCGCTTCTGCGGAGCCTTCCCCCCTTCCAGGGCGACGAGCCCTATACATATCCACTGCTCCTGGCCAGGTCCATCCTGGGCCCGGGAGCGGTGTATACGCCCTCCTGGCTTGGCTGGGGAGGCATATACACCGCTCCTGGGCCCAGGATGGACCTGGCCAGGAGCAGTGGATATGTATAGGGCTCGTCGCCCTAGGCCTTCCCCCTCCCCCCCTTCTGCGCGTGGCCGACTTCCGTGGGCACGCCGCCCGCGGATCGCGGGGCCGCGGGGCCGGGCCCACCAGGCGCGCCAGCGCCGCGAGGTCCTGCCGCACCAGGTCCTGCCGGGGAGGCGAGGGGCTCGGGCCGTGGGGGCTCGGAGCGCACCGGCCTCGGGTCGGGCGGTGTTGCCCTCCAGGCGAACTTTGCATGAAGAGCCAAGACCACTCGACAGACAATCCATCATAAGCAGAGAAAGGATAGAAAATCGCCCCCCGACTATTCTCTTGCCGTGTCTGAATCTTCCTCCTGTGGAGGAACACGCCCGACTCAACACCAGCCCTTTGGGGCGCAGGAGGACTGACGAGAATCTGCTCTCTCTCTCTCTCTCTCTCTCTCTCTCTTCGTCCAGTATGCGCCGCCAGAGGATGGCCATATGTAGGGGGCCACATGCGAGCCCTACCCCTGCCCCCCACGACTTCTGAGGGGGGGGGTGGTGTTCACTATGCTCGGGAGCCCCCGAACGAAGTGGACCCCACCCTCCCCCTCAGAAATGAATCGTGGGGGGCAGGGGGAGGGTCCGCATGTGGCCCCCTAATTAGTACCCGCCGCCGCGGGAACGTGCCCTGTGCCCTCGAGGAGCGGTGGATGTGGAGATCTGCCCGCCACTTCCACCGCTACTCGAAAACGCGCAATGCATGACTCCGAAGCGGTGGGTACAGAAATTGTCTGGCGGAGACAGAACCTCTGTTCCCTCTGGGAGGGGCGCCCTCCCCCCCCACCTCCCTGAGGCTTTCCGGGACCGTCACGAAAGATTTGGCGGGACCTAGCCTGACATTTGGCGCCAACCCCCGCCGCGAACACCTCACGAAAACCAGACCGTCAAACAATCCACAAACATGTGAATTCCAGTCGTGGTGACGCAAGGCTCAAGCTGTGGAGACTCGGTTCCCACCAGTCCTTTGGGATGTAGGTGGTATGACGAACATTCTCCTCATCCAGAACCTCTCTTTCATTCGGGAGGGGTCCTCCCCTGAGGGTTGTCGGGGTTCCGCAAGCGATCAGATCGCCCACAGCGCCTTGGAGCGGGAGGGGGGACGCAAGCTGGGGAGACGTCGAGGCCTCGAGTCATACGCTTCCCAAGTCCTGGTGGGAGCGGTGTTCCTCGTCGAGGAAGCCGCAGAAGACCCGCTGCTCCTCCACGAAGGCCCTCAGCTCCTCCCGCACCTCCGCGAGGGCGCGGCCCGTGCCAGAGACCGCCTCCCGCAGCTCGGCCTGCTTCCGCAGAGCAATGAAACATCCGCGCAAGCACAACAGCTTTCGGAGGTCCGCGCAGATGTGTGTTCGATCGGACCTACCAGTCACCCCGCATGAGAAGGGCGCACGATAAGGACGCAAGAACCTCGCAAGGCCCTCTCGACACTCTCGAAGCGGGGCGCGGCCGGCGAAAGCGGCCAAGGATGGGCCGACGGGGAAGGATGCCAGGGTAGTTCACCTTGGAACGTCGCTCATTCTTCCTGTGCGGGTTGACGCTAGTTACCCCATTTTTCCTCTCGATGTCTTTGAAGGGGCCCTGGGACACACACACACACACATAAATAGACACAAAGAACAGGATCCCTGAGATTTCCGGGGGAATCGACAATTCGTTGTGTCTGTGTGCTTTTCCCTCTCAGTGTCTTGGCTGGCGCCAAGATGGTGCGCAGCAGCACGCGCTCGCACCTCCCCGGCGGGCGGAGGCGCGCCATGGGGGCGGCGCCGTCCAGCGCCACACCGGGGAAGCCCGGGAACCCGAGCCGAGACATCCCCGCGGACCTCCGAGCAGTCATGCCTGCATCAGAGGATCGACTCCCAAACTGATGTGCTCCAGGATGGATTGTTCCGTCGAATCTGTTCCGATTGCGCAGAATGCCACGTAGATCTACGGAGTACTCGACGCACTTCTCGCAGCATGGACCACGAAGCACGAATCCCGACATCTGGGGCAGCTCGCGTCTGTCGTCGATCCCTCACTCGAACGTTGCTGCAGATCTCTCTTCTTCGGCCGCCGCGCCGTGCTCTCCGCGGCCGCCGCCGCGGCGGCACTCTCCGCCCGAGCGCACAGCTCCTCCCCGAGCTCCGCGCACCGCGAGGACACCTCCCGCTGGAGCGCCTCCCGCGCGGCCAGCGGGGCGCCCAGGGCGCGGCCGCTGCCGTCCTGCCGGGCGGCTCCCGGATGGGGCCGCAGCAGGCGGGGCCCGAGACGGTCGCTCACGGCATCGCCAATGCACCGGCGACGCCGGCAGTGGGCGCGAATTCACTGGGGGAGAGAGCATGGGGGGGGGGAGGAAGGTGCCCCTGTCGGGCCCCGACAGCCACCCCCTGGGCCCCAAAGGGCCCCTCTAGAGGCCCCAAGGGGGGCCCCTTTTCGTTAGCCCTGATGCCCCCCCTGCATCGCCCCTCCATTGCGCCTCCTCCGATGGCACGGGGGAGATCTGACTCCAAAGCGCACCGCCGGTACATCGGCGGTCGGGGATGGACAGTATCCCTTTAGTAAAACGTGGTTTAGTGAAAACGACCTCGGGCCCAAACCTGGCGTGCGCAAGCCTTGAAAATGACGGCCGCGGTGCCCTCTCGAGAACCGAAAACGGAGAATTCACCAATCGACGTGTCAGGGTGGGGGTTCTGTCCACCCCCGAGGCGGTATGCAGTGGCGTGGCCCTGCGACCCCACCCGCTCCTGGCCACAGTTGGGAGGCCCGGGTCGGAGCAGGGCGAGTCGAACCAACAGCAGCTCAAGATCAGTCCCGACTCCTCCCTGGGGCCAAAACTCCGTGTCGCGTCGACCCCGGCGTCGGTTCCTGACACCGCCGTTTCCGACACGTCAGATCGTTCAACATTGACCGATTCTGGGTCGCCAGCGGCGTCCAACGCTGAACGCCTGCGGCAGGGCGAACCTACCGTACCGTGGTCTCAACTGAGCGGCCGAAGGAAACGGGTCTTACGCGAGCTGACAGAGCGACCTTACGCCGCGGCCCACGCCAGCGCGGCGCGCCACATCTGAGACGAGGGCGCCTACGCGCGCGACCCTGCGCGGGCAGCTTGCGCGCCAGCGTCGGCGAACATGACCACGACGACGACGACGACGACGACGACGACGACGACGACGACGACGACGACGGCGACGGCCGCCCTCCGACCGGGGCATCCTGCGCCGCGCACGCGCGAGGGCTCCGCGGCGCCTCCGCGGGGAGCGCGCCGTCCGGGCCGCCCGCCGCGCCCCCGCGGCGCGCGCCCTCCGCCGCCAGCAGCCGGCGCTCCAGCCTCGCCACGTCGGCGCAGATGCGCCGCTCGGCCTCGGCGGCGCGGGAGGCGGCGGCGGCGTCCGCGGACGCGGCCGCGGCGCGGACCTTCGAGGAGGGGATCGACTGCAGAATTGGGGTACCCCCAGCATCAACTTTCTCGTCCGATGTACGCCACATGCGCGGATGTCTCGTCGGCCCACGGGCATTTCACGTCTTCTTTATCCAGTGATCAAATCAACTTTGGGGTCAACCAATTCTGTGGTCGATTCCCTGCTCGGGACCTGGCAGCGGAGGCGCTGCTCCAGGCCCGACACCGCGGAGTCCAGCCTCCGCTCCCAGCGGGCGCTGGCCTCTCGCCGGCTCTGTCCGTTTCCCTGTCGCCTCGTCGTTCGCTCCCCCCTTCGAGCTCTTGTCCTCGTCCTCGTCCTCGTCCTCCTCGTCGTCGCCTCTGAGCCTCTCGGTGTGAGGGACGGCGGTCCCGAGACGGCGGGGGCCCAGGACACCCGGGGGGGCTCTCTCCCGGAGGGCCGCTGGCATTTCTCGTTTTCGTCCCGAGGCCGTTCTTGCTGACCGCCCCGGGGCCCAGGAAGGGTATGAGGAGGAAGGGGAGGAGGAGGAGGAGGAGGAGGAGGAGGAGGAGGAGGAAATGGACGAGGAGGGAGGAAGGATGAGGGATGAGGGATGAGGGATGAGGGAGGAGGGTGGAAGCAGGAGGGTGGAAGGAGGAGGGTGGAAGGAGGAGGAAGAAGAGGAGGAGATTGGAATACGCATGAACTTCCGGAGGTCCGCGCGCATTTCTTGGATCGGCGCTGGGCCCCTGCCCTGGCGCGCTCCGCGCGCCAGGTGGCAGCCCCACAAGCGCCGCCTCGTGGGGGGGGTCCCAGAGCCCATCCAGGACATCCGCGCGGACCTCCAGGTGCCGCTTCTTTGTAGGGCCCCTCTTCTGCGCGGGCACGTGGATCCATATCCACAGCTTCTCGACACCCCCAAGATGACAAACGTAGGCGACCGCCACCGGCAGTCCATCGGGGGGGGACCGACCCCTGGGCGGTGGCACGCCTGAGCGTCGTCCTGTACCGCGTCAGTGACGCTCGGGCATGGCACCGCCCAGGGTTCGGCAACCCGCCGATGGGTTCTCGGCGGCGGCGGTCATTCTTTCTCTTCAAACCCCTGGGATTTGTGCTGCTCTGCAGCGCATTGGGTCCAACAAGCGGTCGTGCTAACGGTGTGACGCGTCGTTAGCTAATCCCACCAGCCTTTGGGCTAAGATGGAAAACCCTCTTCCCTTCGGGGAGGTTTACCCCGCCCGCACCATGGGTCTGGACGGAGGGGTGGTGGGGGGGGGGGGCGAAGGGTTAGAGCGCCAAAGACGGCTCAAGATGACCCCAAGAGGAGCCAAGATAGCCCAAGATGGTCTCCAAGATAATTTAAGATAGCCGGCGTTTTTTTTTAGTTTCCGACATACCTCTAAACAAAATCCGACGAGGGCCACGAGACGGTTCCAAGTGTTCTCGGAGACCCCTCAGGACCCGCCAAAGAGGCAAAAACCCTCCAAACACCGACGGAACATCAATGACTTTCGACGTCTCGCCTTTCCGCTTCCGATGCGCAGGCTGCCCCGAAATGACCCAATAGAGGCCCCAAAAAAGACCCACCATGCCCCCCCAGACAGCCCCAAGAGCGCCCAAGAGGGCACGTATAAGGCGATTTTGATGGCCCCAGGAGGGGGAGGCAAATCGACGAGCCCCCCTCTTCACCGATGGCCTCAAATATTGCCCCAAGAGGCCCTCCATGGCTCCCAAGGGACAACGGGGCCTCAGGGAGCCCCCAAACCCCCCAGAAGAGCCCCTAAGAGGACCCCAAGATCCCCCAAGACTGCCACGTGAGCTCCAAGAGGCAATTTTGAAGGATCTGTAAAAGTCATCGTTGTCCTCCTCCTCCTCCTCCTTTTCCTTCTCTTCGCCCTCGTCCTCGTCCTTGCCCTCATCGTCTTCCTGTTCATTTCCCTCCTCTTCCTCGTCCTCCTCCTCCTCCTCCTCGTCCTCCTCCTCATTCTGCTCCTCCTCCTCCTTCTCTTCCTCCTCCCCTCGCCTCCCACGCGGGCCCGAAAACACACTCTAAGGCCACCCCCTTACTCCCAAAGATCTCTCTGTTCCCCCTGGTCGCCCGCCCTGTTTCACTACATGTGTCTCGTCGTCCCTTGTACTGTCAACTCTCACGGGCAGGATTTCCAAATGGGCGGGTGGGGACACGTTTTGGTCCGCGGGAAGGAGTCGAACGTCGAGCCTGGGCGGGCCGCGCTGGTAACGAAGAGAAAAACAGTGAGCGACGGCACGCTGGGAGCCGCGAAACCGACAAGGCGCAGCCGCAGACGAGCATGCCGAACACGAAGACCTTGAACACGAGCGTGGTGAACACAGAGTGCCCGAAGAGAAGGGAAGCAAACACGTAGTGAAGAGTTGGCGGGTGGGGATACGCGAAGCGTGACGACTTACGGCGGAAAGGGCGAAAGGGGAGGAAGAGGCGGCCACGGAACGGCCACCGAGCTCTCAGACCATGTAGATCTTAAACGGCGCTGGAGGTCAGGCACATGATCTCGACGACGGCGTAGCAGATACGCGAATCGGCATGGGGGAAACGGATCCTGAGGGAAACGAGCCCTGGACCCCAAGGCCTTCCCGCGGGACAACTTGTTCATCGTGAGTCGTCCTCTGACAGTCCCGGCGCCCGTGGAGGGCCCCGAGAGCCAAAAACGGCGAAAACCCTCAGGACCCGTTTCCCTTCGGACCCGCTTCCCCCACTGCGAGGCGTAGCAGAAGCGCGAAGGACACGCCGCAAGGCGGCCAGGGCCCAGGGCAACCGACACCCATAGCACGACCCTGCAGCAGCAGATGTGGAGGCCTCCCAAATGGCATCGGAGCAGAAGGGGTCGGAGGATCGCACCGCACCGCCGATGCACCGGGTAGGCACCGGCGACGCATCGTCGACGTCGGCGATGCATCGGCAACGTTGCTGTGAAGCAAATCGAGCTCCACATCGAGGAGGAGGAGGAGGAGGAGGAGGAGGAGGAGGAGGAGGAGGAGGAGGAGGAGGAGGAGGAGGAGGGGAGAAGGGGAGGAGGAGAGGGAGGAGGAGGAGGAGGAGGAGGGGAGGGGAGGAGGGAGGTGGAAGGAGGGAGGAGGAGGAGGAGGAGGAGGAAGGAGGAGGAGGAGGAGGAGGAGGAGGAGGAGGAGGAGGAGGAGGAGGAGGAGGAGGAGGAGGAGGAGGAGGAGGAGGAGGAGGAGGAGGAGGAGGAGGAGGAGGAGGAGGAGGAGGAGGACGAAGACGGGAGGAGCCACGGACGAGGAGGCCTCGCCAACTCCGGGCGAAGATCCGAAGACGATCGTCGCGTGGATCTGGCCGCTCTGAAGAATGTCTCGTGCGCCGCAGCCTTCTCAGAGCGTTCCGGAACGCTACCGACTGATCCTCGTCCTAGCCCCGTCTGGTCGAGATTGTTCTTACGATTGCCAGTAATCGGGGATCTACTGACCTGGCTCAATCCAGACCCGGGTCAGTCGGGCCTTGCAGAATCTTGCAAGATACTGCAGGACCCTGCGCCCAAACCCAGATCAATGCGCCCTTGGCCCTGCAAGATTCAGCGCTCTGACTGAGCATCGACCTCAGTCTCTTGAACCCCGAGGTAGCAGTAGCGCCTGGGTGGGTTGGGGCCCTGGGTAACAGTAGCGCTTGGGAGGCGTGGGGCACGGGCACGTCCAGGCAGGGGTGCGCGGCGATCTCCACCGCATGCGCGCGAGCACCACCATGTGGGTAAGGGGGGCCCAGCGTATGTTTACGAAAGATCGTGGCTGTCCAAACCAAACATGCATCCAGCATGAATCGCGAAAGGTCTTTTGGACCCCCCCACACTCCTGATGATTTTCTCGGCTGCCTTATTGAAGGACTAGGTCCCACCAATAGGGGGTAACTTATTATTTGTTCCGCGGCACCCGCCGCGCAACAACGATGACGACAGCTACGACTAAGATTGCGACAATGACTGCGACTTCCTCGTCCTCCTCCTCCTCCTCATCAGCATCATCAGTATCATCAGCAGCAGCATCATCAGCAACATCATCGTCATCATCTTCATCCTCATCACCACTCATCATCAGCAGCCGTAACAGCATCAGCATCCGCATCAGCATCGTCATCGTCAGTATCATCATCAATAGCATCATCATCATCATCAGCAGCGTCATCATCATAATCATGTCCCTCCTTTCTCCTCCTCCTCCTCCTCCTCCTCCTCCTCCTCCTCCTCCTCCTCCTCCTCCTATCGCTCCTTCGCTCCTTCGCTCCTTCGCTCCTCCTCCTCCTCCTCCTCCTCCTCCTCCTCCTCCTGTCGTCTTAGGAGGAGGAGGAGGAAGAGGAGGAGGAGGAGGAGGAGGAGGAGGAGGAGGAGGAGGAGGAGGAGGTTGTAGGACCAGCCCGATTCACTGCCAGAAAAAGCGTGGGGAAACCAAAACTAAAGACCTTTAGAGGTTAAGGCGAGACCAGGATTCCTGAAAAATTTGTGAAGAAGTCTCGGGCCAATCGCGCTAGGGCTCCCAGCCCCCCCTGCGGAGCTC